AATAAAAATTTTCCACGTGCAAAATATTATTGCTCATCGATGGAGTGCACTGGGGCATGTGAGTACCAATGAAAGCTGGCAAGTGGAAATTTCTTTCGATTAAAAAAATTCTGCCATTTTCCTCCAGTGGAAACCCAAGAGCGTACACAAAGCGTTGGAGTAGTGAAAAGGGGGGAATTGAAAATGGCTTCCGCCCCCTCCCATTAATATCGCGAATGCGGGGTAACACACACCGTTGTGGAATCGTTACCGGTCTCTTTTTTCGAGATCGATGGCTCTTTTCTCTTCCCTCCTGCCGCGCTAATATTTTTTTTTTTTTCGCAACCCTCCACATTTTTATTTCTCAGTGGCATTCACGCGTCCAGGAGAGAGAAGCCCATTCAGGCATACGTCGGACTCGTTTCACGGTTTTATTCAGCTGGCCGGTGGATTGCCGCGTGGTAAGGCCGTTATCGTTCACCAGTACCTCGGGCACAGAGTGTTTACTAAATGGTGGAAAAAAAGAGGTGGGACGAAGAGGGCTATTATCGTGCTCGGGTTTTTGTGAAGCGTTTTTTTTTTCGGGGGTGAAATTCGAGTTTTACAGGACTCCGGGGAATATTTCTGGTGGAGTTTTATTAGCAGAAAAAAAAATGGGATGTTTTGTTTTCATTATGGGAGGGGGTCGATACCAGCCCGAAGCGTTACTCCCACCGAACGTAAACATTCTGAGAACAACGATTCGCAAAGATAACGTTTTATTTCGAGATATTTCAAGCAGTTTTCAGACTATCTGTGTGTCTCAATAACTTTTCGACAGTTTTCAAGATATTTCAATCGACAGAGGGATTTTGTCACGATATTCACTGGATTGTGACTGTATTGTGACTCTCGTGAGTTCTATACCGAAAACGCGGGGATTCAATCGAATAAAAATTATGAAAGCTTTAGAATATCTTTTCACGCTTCAGAATGATTCATTCAAGTAATTCAGTTGAAGACATCCTCAAATATCGACCGAGAAGAATTACCATCAATTACATCAATTTATGTCATTAAACACTCTTTCATCAATCCGCAACAAAGCCATTGTCATGCGGTACTTTTTGATAAAAGGGAAAAAAAACTATCTTCACTGTTCAAGCGCGTGACATTCTGCCATTTGCAGGGTTTTAGGTATTTCAGGGGGTGGCCGTGGTTTTATTGCAATTATCCATGACTGCGGGGTTTATTGGGGGGGAGGATTGGGAGGGTGGAGATGAAGTGGTATCGGTTATTTTGTACATGGGGCAATGTGGAGCAGTAACTAACACGCTCGGCAAATGGCTGTAGTGGGTATTGCCAACTCAAATGGAATGGGAATTTTACCCGTTTTGTGTAATATCGTGGGGTGGATTTCACCGTCAGTCGACGGTATCGCATCGTCACTTCAGGGAGAAACGATGTAGATAATCTAGAGCATAATATCTCGTCCAGAGAAGTCAGGAGAGAGAAAAATAATGGCGATGGGAATTTGAAGAAAATTTCTATTTGACGTAAAAAGTACTGGACAAAAGAGAAATCGCGTTTATGCGTGGCAAAAGTATTGACATTTATTCGTAATGTCAAATTTTCGTAATTTGTCCGAAATTTTGGTCGCCAGGGGGAATTAGACGAATTTTCTTTTGAAAAAAATCTCTCGATTTATCGAATATCCCCGAAACCTCATGGAATAACGTTGGGGTGACGTACCAAGCGCCACCGGAAATTAAGTGCCTCGAAATAAGATCGGCTTGCTCCGAGGAAAAGAGAAGAAAAAAAAAAGAATATCATAAAAGCTCCAGGGAATGCTACGCCAACCGCAACCCAGATTGGAATTCCATTTATTGTTAGCGGAGACTCGAAACGCTCAATTCAAGAGATATGATTTGTTCTTTAAATTCAAACCGAGAGAAATCGAAATTCCCCACTACTAATTTATTGGTCACCATAAATGTCCGTTTCCTGCATCGTAAATGTATTTTAATTACCCCATTACTCAGCAACCGTATATTTTTTATTTCTCCTTCACTGTCGTGTGTCATCCCCCCCGGAATGTAAAATTTCATAATCTTTTCATAAGCTTTTATTTTTGAGAAAATTTTGACGCCTAACGATGAAAAATCGCACGATAAGACCTCGAATCATTTAAAACCAATATATATAAATAAAATAAAATAACAATAGATAATATCCCTTGGAATTGAAAATGGAAATCTCTGAGACATTTATCACGGCATAAAATACTGTTTTTTTTTTATTTGTATTGACTTTTCAGCAACCCCTTGAACCCTTCGAAAATTCGATTATTTTAAAATTCCTCGGGATGTCAAGAGCAATATGTTGAATACACATACAAGTACTTTAACCCTCTCGGCTCTTTGCCATTTAAACACCTCCTTGATGAATCTCACTCATACACAAGTACCTGCAATGGTCCGGACTACCCATTGACATCGTTCTACAAACATCAAAACATTCTCTCCCTTTTGTATTTGTTTGTCTCATAGTGTATCGTGAGAGAAATATCGATAGCTAAATACAATGCCCTGTCAGTTACAAAAGGATTTTGTACAAATAGTCCAAGGATTTTCCATCATCAAAGGAGCCAAGGGCTCTCCTTACATTTTCCCATTGAATTTTACGTGATGGCTTGTCATCTGAGCGCCGAGACAGATGGAAAATAAAAGGGAAAACAACGTTGAATGATTGAAAAAGGAAACTTGCCGGAGGCAAGACTTTTCGATGTCTCGAAATAAACTGAACTTTATGGGATTTCGATCTTGGCAAAATGGGGGGCGGGATTTCAACGGGGGATTTCATTCTTTAATGTTGATTACTATCGGTTAGGATTTCATGCAATACTAGATATTGCTGGACTTCTTGTGACCGTTATTTTTTTTTTATCACTGCTGGTTCGTGAAATATTCGTTGTTATTTTACAAAAAATTTTGGTTGTAAAACAAAATTTGTAATAAACTTCAACACCAAATATCTCTCGATAGAACAATGATATGAAAAAAAGGATAAACATAATAAACAGAAGACAAAAGCCAGAAATTTTTTACCGAAGGAAGTTCCATGGGAAAATTAAGTTGGTAATGACATTACGTAAAACGCACAAACGCCCCAGTGGCTGTGCATTTCCCGATGATAATGAAGGCCATAAAGACAGGATGTGGCCTTCTTTAAAGTTCACTGGTGCAATAGCACCGCCATTAATCTTCTAACCAGAAAATGTAACCAGTAAACTTTTTGCGACGAAAAAAAAAAATCCGATTTCATCTAATGATGATGCAGAAAAGACGGGATCAAAGGGAGTTCGAGTACAAATAACGATCACGCTTTCATCCCTTTTTTTCTTTTATCCTCGAGTGACCGTGTAACAGCTAACCTTTTTTCCAACCTTTTTCTTCCTGACTCTTGTGCGGTTAAAAAAAAAACGTCAATACTCGGTACTAGCCCTGCACCCGGTAGAGACCTCTGAATAAGATGAAAAAAATATAAGAACCGAGGAGAATGGAGAACACAGGGGAGAAGACGAAATGAGATCTTCTTTGGAATAATGCGGAGAAGCCAAATCGAATCTAAAGTTGTCCGCTGTTTTTTTTATTCTTGTTGTCTAGCTTGTGAGGAAATTACGAAAATTTGTAAAAGTTCCTTTCAAGGGGGAAAATTTAAAGTGATGGGTCGAATTTTCACATCTTGTCGGACATCCATTTATCTAAATAATCGGTGGTATTTTTTTAATTGAAAACCATGAACGAGCAAAAATTGTTTTAGAGAAGACTAAAAAGCGTTGAGATAAATTCAATATTGCAATGACCAAAAACAATATGTCAGATACTAAAGACTGAATGTGAAGTGAATTTAATGCACCTCTTCGATTTGATTGAATTGAAAAATGGAAATTTGAATTTGATCAATAGCCGAATAAACCCGAGAACATATCCCCTGCCTCTCCAGAGGCCCCTCATTATCAGCAGCCGTCGGTCTCTTTTTTCTCCCCAAAGAAATCACCTCAAGGTTCAAAACCCTTTTATCCCTCCCAACAGACCAAAACCCCTGTGCACTCTCCGTCGGTGCGTTAATATTAAAATTGATGGGTAAAAAAAAAAACGCGAGACCGAGGATCGTTAAGGGTTCTCACTGGCGCTGAAAAGCGAGGAAGTTGAAGTACGAGGAGAACTTTGGTCAACTTTTCTCCGTCCCTCACTTTCTGCTTGCGCTGCGGTTTTCTACACACAGTGCACCATAAAGCTCATCTTTCTAATATCAGTAACAGGATTTTCACTTCTATCTTCACGCTTCATAACACAGAATCAAGTTTAACGCGTTATTTAAATTTGTGGGGTATAAATTAATGGTAAAAACTTGGAATTAAAAGTTTTTGAAGGGAAACTGGTGGATGAATTATCAATTTAGGTTTTTTATCACCAAAGATTTTTCCCATCATCATATTTATCGATAATATGGTCATTACCCTGAATTATTAAATCGATATCAGTGAATTTCGTGAATTAACTCTCGGAGAAAATTAATTTACAGAGTAAATTGAATCGATTTACGGAATTATTTTCGTGACGTCAATCGGTCTAAAACGCCCCCTCGATAAATAGCAAAGAGGGTGGCAACATGACACCCTTAACCAGAAATGTCAGATGCCCACCACAGAATCCTCAAGTTATCGATCCTCCACTACCCCCAGGTTTTATTCCGAACGAGAGAAAACTTAACTGCTCCCACGAGATAATCGCATGACGTTACCAATTCCACATGGCACGAACCCATCAATTCTTCCACCACCAAGTGGTGCATTACGCTCATGAAATAAATCTCAGGGATTAAAATCCATTGCATGTTTCACTCGTTGAACGAGAGAGGGGAAAAAACACGCGAAAGAGTGCATTATTCATTAATAACTCGACGCGGTCCTAAGAGAACAAGGAATTACCAACGAGTGCTGTGACATTAGTGCTGGGTCAGTTATTTAAATCTCTAACCTTGATTGCCGTTTCCTTCGTCCAGTTGATGGGTTGTTCCGTGAATTGAATCCGCTGGATGACGTAACATTGTTTTCGAATGAAATCTGCGAATAAAATCATCTCCGTTAGTCAATATTTTTGTTTCAGCAAAGACCAATCCATAAATCCATTCCCAATCACTAAATTGCGAAAAGCAGCGAAGGGATGGAATTGATTTAATTTTTATAATGGAATCCATGAATTTGAAATAGATAGTTTTAGAACTTTTTTGCCTTTATCATCCCAAAAAATTGCTGAAGTTTGTGGAAGGGAAAGGATTATTAAGTGGATGAGTCATGAAAAAAATATTGTAATGCTCCGGAAGTCAATGCAATATTCAATGAATAATTCCAGAATTTCGAATTAATCAAATCTCTGAATAAAATGATTTCCTGACCCCCAGCAAATCTCACAATATTTTCCAGTATAGTCATCCCAACCCCTGATTCCCCCTCTACCCTAACAATGAATTGCTAAATTCAGATAAATGATAAACGTTTGCTGTATCAACGCACCTGACTGGACTATCACGATGATCTCTTCACTGTCACAACTCCCCAAACACTTCACTCACCCCCAAAAGTTGACCCTCTCACCCGACAAATTCATCGCTAAAACCCCCTGAAGTGATTCCAAGTCCCTTTTCCCCCCGGCAACACAACCCTCAAAGTTTCTCCCCACACAGCACATAAACACATCCACTCGAAACAAACCGGTCAACTGTTACCACACGTGCTCTCGATACTCACGAAACCGTGCGAGTGTTCGAGTTGATCGTTCGATTATAACCGCTCCAATAAACAATTTGGCCCTCAACCCTGGCTTGTCAGTTCTCCTGGCAAAGGGACAGTGCAACACCCTCTACCATCCTCCCATACATGAGTGCACTCCATCACCATCAGCACTGTCATCATGTTCTCATTTACATCGTCCCCAATTCGTCACATCCTACCCAGATCGATTCAACTGCACTCGAGCCTCAATTTTTGCCGATTCTCCTCACTCCTGGTTAAACCACCAATTCCTTTACATCGCCTTAATCCCCACCAAAAGTCTCCGCGAGCTCAGTTAATCATTAATTAATTACCAATTTGTCATCAATTGATTGTGGCGTCAGGTGAAAGGGGTCGTGGGCGACGTATTGAAAATGACAAAAATTGGAGTTTTTGAGGCGTCTCTTCAAGCTTTGCCAGTATTACATTATAATTTTTGGTTCACTCGATTCGTTGTGTTTTGTCGTGTAATTGAGACACATGTCGTCGTCGAATATCGTGTGCCTTTAGCGGTGTCGAACGGTAGACTGACGCCAAGTTGTTGTTGCGTTCCGAAAGATCGCGAGACTGAACGGCTCCTGTGCGCGACGCCAACTGCCACTGGCGTTCGAAAAACAAGTCACTCTCGAGTCTGCGCGACGCACACCTATCCTTGTTCTCTCCAAGCAACTAAATAAATTTATTACTCGATATCAACCACTCACTTTTCCACCTTTACCAAATAATCAATGAGGTAAACATCACAGTCATTCGAATTCGTCGTTCAGAATGTAAACAAACGTTAAAATCGAAAACAAACTAAATTCACTACACGTACTCGATAAATACTCGGACGATTCGACTAGTTCTTGAGACAAGGCTGTCCGAATGACTACCAGTATTTGTGTTTTATTTTTTTTTTCGAGGTATTGAGAGCCCTCTGTTATTCTGAGAAGCCAGGAAAATATTCGCCAGAAAATGGGGTAAGTGTCTAGTTCATAAACGCCAATTGATGCTAGATATTATTTATATGATTATATGGATTTTTATTTTCTGATTGCGGATCACCTTTTCCTCTGGAAACAATTAGTGTGTAAATACTTGGACATCCAGAATATATTCTGGACGATTACATGTATTAATTGAGACAACGATTCACGTGAGGACATGGGAAATTAATCTCGAATTTATAGTTAATTCCCAATTATTTTTGTATTTGGGAAATGAAAATGAATTGATTTGGTATATTTTATTTATCGAATTTCCTAAATCGGAGGGTTAATTGAAAAATAGGGAAAGGATAAAAAGGTGATAATAATTTGACGTGATATAAAAAATTCGAATATTGTGATCACCTTGATTTTTCCTCACAGGGTCATTCCAGAAGTGAACTGAAAGCCTGGCAGTATTAATTACAACGCTAACGAGTATTTTCCGTTGAAAATCTGTATCGCTGGCACAGCAACATCAAATGCATTAGTGAATTACGCCAATCGATACAACGAAACCGATGAAAATCGATTCCCACTCTCCTTCACACATTGTTTGGACATTTTCAGTGCACGTTCGACACCGACCTGATCCCGTAATCACGTAAATGAATTTATAGAATTTTCCACAATACCCGACTGTGCAATTCCTCACAGCAAATATTCACGTACCATTCGTTCAATTCCAGCCAGTGGTTTTTCAAATTAAAAGGGGAGGAAGAAATGTCGATTCAGTTAATGAGATTACATTTTCACAGCTCAGGGTAATGAGTTTTTCAATGCGATGGTCAATCCGATTTATGATGGGACATTCTAGGAACAAATTTTCTCTCGCATCAAATGGAATTATTATTTCTGTGGCTTAAAGAGTACGAAATCCATTTAAATATATATTGCAATTATTTTCCATCGGAATTATCATTTTAAGTTGAACTCAAGATTACGATGGCAATCACCGAAATGAAAAAAATATTGGCTAAAAAATTCCTTGAATTCTTGGTTATCGGGGACAAATATAAAATCCCCTTGCACACAAATTTCTATCTGTACCGCGGGTCCGATGCCGGTGAGAATCGCCATGGAACACATACAACAATGCAATTATATGGTCAGAATGTCACTATCGGCTGGTGCAGTCCGTTCGTCATGCAACAGCTTGAAAGCCAACGTTGTTCAATTCTACCACCCCTCTGTTACCAAATCCCATTTCACATGTCCACCATACACGTACGTATTAACCTATTCAATTTCACCTTTACCCCGTGAATTTGATAGTACCGAGTGTCCTTTGTACCATTGACTAATTCATCAATTGGTCGAGAATCAGCGCTTTGGTGATTAAATATTGGGGGACTCCAATGTGTAGTCGATGAGAGACTATAATTAGACGAATTCAGTAATCAATTTTAATTATGGGAGTCAAAAAGAGTCAGATCCTAGTGTTTGCGATAAACGTCTGAAAATTAAATAGATCAATCTCTCCATTTTAATGAGCACTATTTCCAAAATTCAGTACGTGTCGTGCTTATCGAGTACACATGACACAGAACAGGAGAAAACTCATTGAGTCCTGGATGCTGGGAGAGGGGGATGAGGGTTACAAACAGAGCTGTCAGACGTCAAGTCAGAGTTCGAACGTCGACAGCATTGCATCCATGTAAACGTGAGACAGAAGTAGTTCACTGTGGGAGGTTAATGAATCTCCGTGCTTGGGGTTGCTAATCAACTCCGGGAATACGTCCTGACGAGTCAGGAGTTGTCCTTGATTACTCACTACCTGGACAAAGGGGAACGGGACGGTAGAAAATTCCAGGATTGGTAGCACGTCACGTTTTATCACTCGAAAACGCTCACTGCACTGCAGATCAATCACTAAATTTTCCCTCGGAGTGAATTCCATGCATTATGTTAAAAAGACACCATTCAAACGCCAACTAGATCTTAGAACTAATTCCCATTCAATTTTTCGTTATTTCAAGGCACTAGGATTTTTATACGATTCACAAATTCGAAAATTCTAATTGGCAGACTGACCGCGGTATACTGGATTTTACAACAAAAATGGAATCAGGGTACGGCTTTTGATTTCGTCCTCTATTGGAGGATTAGAAAGTTGACTGGAATGGAAATCGGCTTATGGACTTTCTTCATATTCAGATGCACTGCTGATAAAAGCACCCTCAGAAGAAGCTTTTTCAACTGCCAAAGTAGACCAGAGATCGCTATCTCTACAGATTCCGGATACTCTCTACTCGCCTCAGCCAATGATCTCATATTTCAGTCAGTTTCAGCTCAGTTTTCTTCCAGTTCTGAATGAATTACTGAACCTTCTGAAAAGACATTGCCTAAGCCCTTTGACTCGCTCCAATCAGGATGGGAATCATCGGAAATTCGGTGTCGATCAAAAGGTTAAAAGCTCGCGCTTCTGATTCGCATCTGAGAATGTTTGCCCCTTCTGCTCGAGGTTTTATTTGAATTGGTATGGGCTGGGTGTTCCGTGAAAGGCTGGCAGAAGAGAGTTTCTTCAGTGAATGCTGCGGACTCGTAAAAATTCCCCTCGAGTTCACGCAATCTATCAAATACCGCAAAGTTTTTCGTATACTCCAGCTGATTAAATGTTCGAACGTTTCCAAAAACTCATGGCAAGACGGTTGTGTCGCAATAAGAATGAGGGATAAAATAATTGTTCAAATCTCGTCAATTATCATGTAATGATAATTTTTCATGAGAGCTATTGACCGCGCAATGTGTCACTTGCATGAGTCCTAATAAATGCTGTAGCGTAATCAAAAATTGGCTGTAACAAAATCATTGGATAAAGGAATAACCATTCCCCATTACGGGCTCTTCGATTTCTTTTTCCCCAACGAATTAATTTCCCTTCGAGGAAACGACTCGGCAAAATTAATGATATCATCTCAGCCCCTGCTGTCCCACTCAAGTCGTGGTATCATTTCTTATTCGTCTGAGCAGAATTCAACAACTGGTCTGTTGGAAAGCCAATAACGCAGTGAGCTTTCCTGATATCCATCATCTCTCAACCGTTACCTCGGGTGTAATAAGGACAATGATCGATAGCAATTAGCTATATCTCGCTGTGCGCCCTCCGTAGATTCCGGGCATTCCAATGGGCAAATTCCCGGGGTGAATAATTGTCGACGTGACTGGACAGAAGCTTCGAAGATCGTGCGAAATTTTTTTTTAATTCAATCTGATGGAAGCAATGATTCATTGTTATCGCACCTCTTGAAGTATTTTTTTGCAGTGTTTCACAATAGTCTGGAGATTTCACGGGTAAATAATTGGAAAATTGCCGCATTTTTTAAAAATCCTTCATCACACCTGATTATTTTAATTAATGAGAACAACAAGATCTTAAACCAGATATTCGTCGGTTATTGGTTTGTAGAGAATGAAGTCATACTGTAGTCAATTGATAACACAACCGAGAAACCTAAATTTATCAATTCTAAACACAAATATTCAATCAGACCATCGCTATCTGGACGGATGTAAATTGGAATTTGTATTGATTCAGTGCAAGGGACCACATTAAACAAATATTTGGTCTGGTCAGTGCTAGCGGATATACGAGTCTGAAATTGGAGGACTCTCGCATGTGTTTGAACTGCAAACATGCATTAATGAAATTGAATTATATTACTATGAATGATGAAAAATATGCATTCAATATCCCATAGCCAAATATCCATTCAATATCCCAAGCCGTACAGCAATTAAATTTATCAACAAAAACATACGATCAAGTCCACCTGAATGATCACTACCCAAAGGTAATAATCCCTTTTGTCTCTCTGCTCGCTCAACCACAAGTTATCCCCACGATTTCCGTCTGTCGACTTCAGCTAGTGCAACTCGTTACTCCACCCCAACCCCTCGTACATTTACTCGACTCCCTCTGCACACAGAATTTTCCCTTCGTCAGGATGTGCATCTTCACAGCAGAAACAGGGGAAGTATCTAACGCAAAATTCCGCCAAAATATTTCCCCGCGTGAAAAATTTTACACCTCGTAAAAATATCATACCATCTCGTCATGTTAAATTTCGGAAAGTATTTACGTGAAAAGACTAACACAAATTTTACACAGGCATTTTTAGACAATGAAAATCTAAACCCCGAATCAAAGAATGAATTTCAATGATGAGGAGAATTTTAGGGTCCACATAATTCATGAGAAACTCAACTTTCTGCTTTCGGCGGAACAAACCCCGGAATCGTTACGGGATATTAAGTGGATTAAGCCCTGAAGAGAGAATAATTACGGAAGTGAACAAGTTCTCCAAGCCGCATATCTCCCACAGGTCCACACAGAGTGTATTTAAGGGGCCAAGTGAGGGCACACGAGTGTTCCAGTCACGTACGTATCCTCTAAATTATCCTGGCACAATGCACAAATAACTGCGCGGTCTGCCGCTAGCCCTCGGCCCTAATTCGATACATTCAACTATGAAACCGCGCTACGTTGTGGCATCGTAGGTACAGACGATGCATTTTCTATCCGAAGAAATGTCCTCCACTCACTCGAAATATCCCAGCAACCATTAGAGAATTATTCAAATTAAATCTGAATCGTCCGAGTACCTCAATTTTCATCCTATTGAGATTTTCATTTTTATTTCAGTAAAGTCCATTCTTCAATAAAAATCGACAAGGGAATTGATGCTCCTGTAATCCCTTCTGTACAGTCTGCACCGCTGTCTGACGGCAGCTGCTTTCCTATTCAGAAAATTGAGCTTCCATTGTTTCTGAATCGTTGCTTCTTCATGGTTAACTGTAGGAATCCAATCTTTCGGGTATCTGAAACAATTTGAACCCTCTCGGTATTCAAATCCCATTGCAGTGTAGTCAGTAGAATTGTGTGTAACTCTCGAATGTCTTTGAACAGATCTGTCTTTCACTTCACTTACTCTGATTTTCAATTGAAATTCGCAAGTACAACTGTGAATCACTCACATTTGGTATCGAGATTCCCTCGTAAATCGAATTTACCAATCGCGAATTAAAAAATTTCATCCGACTAATTTTCGAATAGAAGAAAATGTGAAATATTATTTATTTGGGGGAAGACCATGGAACTGTGTATAACAGAGATACTCAATGGAATCAATGATTCCATTTACCCATGAATCGTACTGCATTGCCCTCGTCCGATGAAAGCTTCTACCAATTAGCAGCAAAAAAATCAGAGCTGCATTGGAAAATGTGCCCTCGTCCGCAGGTCCTAGATTTTCGTGATAATAGAGCGTTCGTTATATCCCCTCTGTAGGTTTTAGTTTGTATTGTGCCTTGACTATCTCGAAATACGAAACAATTGTGAATAGTTGGGGTGAAATTGCGAGGGCACCGCTTGCGCAGCAAAACATTCATTTAACTTGATCGTTGTGGTTGCGGAACTAGTGAAAAATTACCTACAAATTTCTCAGATCAATTAAACTCTCGAATAGTCCGAATTAAGTTCTAACCGTCTGCTTTTTTCAAATTCTCTTTCATTTCCTGAATTAAATATGAAAAAAAATGGTGAAAATAGTCATGAAGAATTTTTCTTGAAAAAATTCCAATCGAGTATATTCGTTTTTAAAATGGAATTTGAACAGAACTAATAGAAGTCTTGAAGAATATTCAATACGATTTGTTTTATTTTTCGGATTCACGCCAAGTTGTACCTTTTTTGTTGGAGCTGTTGATTAGGATTGGCGAGCATTAGGCAGCTGGCGAGCAATGTTGAGCGATTTGGAGTTTCAACTTCATCGATGGTGGCTTCTGGCTAAGATCAGGATTAGCACCCTTGCGAATTCGATCCGACATGCGCTTAGCTGATTCCCCATTGGGCAGACAGTAGACAGGAAATAGGACGGTCTTAACGCGAACTGGTTCAGCTCCTGGTGCGCAAGTTGGCAGTGGCCTGAGAGAGAAGCACGTGGTGTCACCAACGGGCACCACTTTTGTTTTAAACATCATACTGAGTTTTTTGCTGTATCTACTGCTGAATGGGTCAGATGATCCCCATTTTCCGTGGTGGTTTGGTCGTCCCGCTTCGCGATCACTTACAACATCGGTGAGACGTGGCTTGTCAACGGGAAGCGATTTCTCCATCTCACGAACTCCTTTTGAGCTCGATTGGCATTCCTTCTCTGGGAGGACGTAAAGGGACGCGAAGTCCTGGGGTTTTGGACTCAGACGGTTGTGTGGGGTCAATAAGTCGTTCGATGACTCACTGTCGAAGTTTCCGCAGAGACCGCGGACAGAGTCTCGGTATTTGTCGTCCATCTGGTAATCGAGTCGGGAAATGAATTCTCTTTGCTTGTCAAATAACTAGAAGAGACTTTGGGTTTTTAAATTATAGGACAATAAATTCATACCTCGATCAGCGTACGGCGTCCGTCGAATATGATCTTGAGTCCATACTTCTCGCTTTCGATGGAAACAGCTTCACCAGGCAATTTTACGATCACGAGCTCATCATCCTCTCCTTCTTTAATAAGATATTCGTTGCTGGACCAATCGATCATTTTACGATTGATCTTCACCATAATTTCAGAATTAGGCTTCGTCATTTGAATTTCTTCAGACCCCAAGGTCACAGAGATCTCACGTTTTGAATCGTCTGATTCGTCCTTGCGGATGGTGATGCTAGTCTGTTTATCTGATTCGATCGCGGGCTTTGAAAGTTTAGATTCCTGCTCGGGTACTGATGTCACTGCTATGCACCAACACTTGGACAGCTCCAAGGGGTATTCGAGACCGTCGAAAGTGGTGACGAAGTCCTTCTCAATCAGGCAAACGTCTGAATATCCCGGATAATTTTGATTCATTAGTCTTGGGTTGCTTCGAAGCAGAACATTCCAAATAAGACACAATTGCACAATGGCAGAACTATGTACTTACCTTCAGGTGGTATACTCTTATGAACTGACCCCCGTCTTCCGATTTTCTTGATATATCCACTGCCGTAGGTGGCATCGCTTTCAAGAAGCATCATTGGAAGAATACCTGGAATTAGCTCCGTGGAAGCCGTGTAATCTAGACCCATCATGGGAGCCTTGAGGTCTAATCGAAGCTTTTTGGTGCCAGGCTCAATGCTCCCGTCAAGTCGCACATACCTCTCGTTCCTCTCATCCTCAGAATTTGTCTGGCTTTCAAAATTACTCACGAGTTGATGAAGCGCTTTGCTATTTCCAATGAGACGCTTCATGTTCTTAGGATGCTTCTCCCACTTATCCATTTCTTCATCAGCTTCATGAACAATTATAGTAGCCCTATCCATCAAAGTTTTCGGTATTCCCATACTCTCGTACATCTTCTTGTTCTTGTGTATCGCTTCCTGGAACTCCTTACTCTGCCACTGACGGGCATGCAATACACTCTGCACTCCGGATTTACAACTGATTCCAATACCAATCTTAATGTCCATTCCTCTCTGTAACTTCTCGCTTTCCATCATCTCGGGTTCAAACGGAGGGACAGCAGGACTTGATCCCTGAGCTGTAGCACAAGCCTCCCAAGCCTTTTGGGTACCACCAGAACGCATATACACTAGGGCCTTAAACTTCTCATTAATTTTGCTCGTGGCGAGAGCAGTTGTCATGATGTAATTCATTTTGTCTTCTCCTGGCAATTCGAGGGCGATATCAACGGCCACAGCATCAGCCGCTGGCAATTCCTTGAGGGCCTCCTTCATCATTTCTCTTTTTCTGAATGGACTTGCTAGATCTTTATCCAAGGGCTCGATGATCTCCGGTTTTGACATCCAACGGTGAGACATCTCGGATGAATTGTCAGATAGTTCATTCTTGCTCATGGTGTCCCAGCCGACCACGAAGTTGATCTCTGGATCGCTTGAAGGACTCGGGATGCTGAGAACATCGATTGAATAAGGCTCGACTTTCCTGTCTACCATTGGAAACAATACGTTCTGCCATATTGTGTCAAGATCGGTCATCTTCTCTAAGACACTGGAAGATTCTCCGGATTTGGTCTCAGTGATCTTAAACGACAGTCCTCGTTTCTCCGAACCGATTATTGTCATGGATTGCTCTTCCTCATCCTTCTTCATAATCATCATTCCCGGATTCCCCATAGAAGCGGTCGGCTTGAGGTCTTCAATATTCTTACGAGCTGTAAAGGGCATCGCACTCCAGTGCACCATTTTTACCGCTTTATTCTTGTTCATAGGCATGAGTTTCATGCGGATCTCTTTCTTGGCTACATCGCAATTGACTTTGGCGCTCATTGGGATGTGGAAGTGGATATTCTTGTCCGTTCCTGTGACATACTGAGTACCGTCGAACGGAGTTACGAACCCAAAGCGTGATTGACCTTTTTGGGAGATGACCATGCGAATATCCATGGCAGCAATCATTTTATCAAGTTTACTAGCTGATCCTATTGGTAAGTCTGAGCCCGTTGATATCTTCATCTTTCCAGAGAGCTGGCGCAAGCGGGGCATCTGGAATTCGCCGGTGAAGGGAAGACCTGTAGCTAACGGGAAACCGACTGCGACCTCAAAATTTTGGAGGCTCATCATGTTGAAGCTTTTGCCTGACTTCAACGATTTAGCAGCAAGTCTGATGTATTCTAAAAATTCCCATCAGCATCAGAAGTTGCGAAAACATTTGAAAGAAATATATGGACATTTACCTTCGGGAATGGGATTAAGCATGTCTTCGCCCATGACAAAGTACGAGCTGCTGTACATATCCCTGGACAGGAAGAACATTTCGAATTTGTCTTTCTTTTTTCCTTCAATGTCTAGCATCTCAACAACCGCTTCAGTCGGACTCTTCCCCTTCATCTTCATTGGGTGATCCTTCTTCTCGTCTATGAAATTCTTCAACAAACGCTTCATGTTCTTGTAAAAGTCCTTCACACTGGACACCATTATACCAGTCTCGTCTTTAGGAACTTTGATACCACCATAACTTGCATCGAATGCTTTGTAAATACCCTGAGGCATAGCACTGTCCTCACCGTAGATCCACGATATCTGACCTGCATAGCCGATGCTCATCTCTTTCAAATAGTTATCCATAATTACTGCGGTTGAATACTCAAGCCCGTACATCTCAGGTGTCAAAAAAGCGCGTGCAGCGCGCGCATCACGAGCGAACTCTTCGTTTTCTTTAATTTCTGAATCAGATCCACCTTCGATCAGAGATTTAACAATTGAGTTTACATGTTTGCTGACATCATAATTAGTGAACTGAGCCATGCGCTGAAGCATCGCAAGAGGAGGCTTGGTTTTCATCGCTAGGAAAACAGCAAGACCACGGACTTTGAAAGATTCTCCGGTGTTCTGGTAAATTCTAACGACAAGATAATAACAGAAATGGATAACTCAAATTCTCCACAAATCTTCTGTTAAATATCTAATTCGAAGTAAATCTTTATTCACCTGTAGGCAAGACCTCGAACAACCTTAGGTCGATCATCAGCTAATTTATCCAAGGCAAGAACCATCATCTGCCTCTGATAAACAGTGGATGGCTTCTTGCCTTCTAAATACGGCTCAAAAACTGCAAGGGTTCTGGGGTGAGCCACGTTGCCGAGAGCGCGGATGTACACGGTGGCACGAGGGCTGTTCTCCTCAATTCCTTGCTCCATTTTCTCAATTAAATAAGGCAAATAATCACGCAATAAAGCGTTATTACTCTTTGGAATGAAATTTCCGAAAACGTGGACTGGGAAACGATTGTGAACGGCGAGTTGGTTAACTTGAGCGTATCGAAGTAATTCGGTGAAAGCAAGAATCGCAGCTGTAGAGACAGCATCGTCCTTCAGAGCTTCCTGGATTGATGCTCCCTTCTACAAATCAGGGGAAAAAAACAATTTGACGAATGCATTCTGTTGATGATGTTGATATCACCCGTTCGAACGTTTAGAATCACTCACCGAGTTGTCCTTTCTCTGGGACTCCAACGCAGCAGCCATTTTCTGCAGACAGAGTAAGCATACATCAATTTTTATGATTGGATCTCTTAACACTCATCTCTTAACACCCATCTCTTAACAAAATATTCAATAGAAAGATCCAGGACATTCCATAAACAATTATTATTTCTACTTACGAAGAAAGCGTCGAGATATTCAGGCGTCGGTTCCTTGGAAGTTTTCGGTAGAGTGGATACAACATTCATCACCTCTAGAGCATCGAGCAGCCTCTCCTGAATCAATTCAATTATCATGACGAGGGCAGGCCCAGTACCGGCGCTGGTCATGGCATCTCTGAAGACCTTCCTGGCATTTATCATGATCATCTGTTGCTGGTCGTTCTCATCAGTGTTCTTAGAGTGGTCATAAAGCTCCTTCTTTACCACTCTCAGCTGGTCAATATTCATTGTTTTCAGGATACCCACGAGAATTGTGAATTTTTCGAGTGTCTGCTCCTCAGGTATTGCACTGGGGTCATCCAAATCGCTTGCGATTTCATTGGCGAGTTTTTTAGTCTTGTCCACAATGTCAACGCTATCAAAGCTTGAAACAGCCTTTCCTTTGTTGGCAATGAAGAGAGGAAGAATCGGATACTGGGGTGGCTGCGACAATGTCGGTTTCGGTTGCAGGTTGGGCTTCATGTCAGCATTCAAATCATCTTCATCAGATCCGGAGTCACTGGAGTCGTCGAAATGATTTTTGTGGAGGCTCTCCTCGCTGGTGGTTTCTACTTCAACTTCTAGGTTCTTCCAACTCGAACTCATCGTCGGCTTCCCGGGCATGCGATCCTCTCCTTCTGGAGAGAACGGCTGCTCATAGGTGTACGCTAAATTTCCGACGGATTCAGGGTTTGACGGGACTGGCCAGGGATTCGATTTAGGTTGTACGTGAGAGAGAGTTAGGTTCACTCTGCTCATAACAACTGAGCTCTTGCTATCAGGAACAGTTGGACTCATAATGACTTTTTCAGTCGTCACCGATGAGTGCAAGGTAAAGGCCGTGAGAGTGCCGGTCAATGTCATCTCACTGATCGAAGATTTCTGTAAAAACATGCGTCAATTCATAAAAATATCATCTAACTTATGGTTGTCTATCTGAGGTGACGTACAAAGACTTACAGAGAAGAATTCTCCTTTCTTATTGCTAGCAGGTTCAAAGTCGAAGTTCCCAGGCATTCCGAAGTGGACAGCAACCCGTTGTTTACATTTCTCATAATCCATCGTTTTCATTATCTCAATTAATTCACCTTCTGATTTGAACTGTTTACCAGGTATATGTTGAAGCATCAGCTCAGCCACCGGTCTAGGGAGTGAATTAATATCATAGAGGACCTCGCAGTTACCCCCAACAGAGTCCTCCATGGTCTTGAACATGGCATTGATAATTTTGTCAGAGGGTGGTTGATTGCTGACGGAGGATCTCATGTTTTCACCCTGAGTATCAATTTGAAGCTGACTGATCACACTCTTATGGATGTTCACTTCCCAAGTGGGTACATCCTTATCGAACATCAGCTCCTTGATGATACCATTCTCCACCTTGATACCGAAGGACTTGCGTGAGGTGGTCAGTGGCATGAACTTCTGATCGCTTTCGGGGATCATCGAATCCCAACCGTGTGGTAGGTGCATGTGAACTGGCGCATATTCAACCTTGGAGAGCTGTGCAAGGAGCATATCTTCGTTCTTAGGTTGAATCTTCAGTGTTGCTCGCATCATCACTCCAGAGTACTGATCGGAGACCTCTGGAAGACCCGTGAGACTTCTACTCTCTAGGGTGTAGTGATACTCATTCTCAGTGTCCCAAGCATTGCTATGGTCAGCACTCGCGGCTCCTACAACGGAAATTTTCTAGCGTGCATCCTTATAATTATATTATACTTATGAATTTATTTTAATCTCGTGGGGCCATAACGGAATTCCGCGCAATGGGCTAGTGTCGTTCGGTATATGCAATTAAAATGGTGGAAACGCCTGCTCATAATATATACATGGCTCACGTGGTTGTGATGGCATCGAATGATGGGCATGACTAGGACCATGGAGATGACAAATGATCGGAGAACACCTGATCTCCCATCCAATTCCGTTTCGATAATGAAAATAATTACTTACCGAGGAGCAAAGCCAATGTTAACGCCCACATGTCGGCGGCTTCAATGCAACAACTAGAGTGCAATAATTTGATCGCATCACATATTTAAACGAATTCAATATGCTTAATCAGCATGATCTGTATGAACCTAGGGGCACGGACGTGAATCGTCATCTACAGATTCATTTAATCTCTCACGTCCACGTGAAATTACATTTTTATGACCTTTGACAGGCTACAGTTGAATGACAAAGTTGCCAAGCTTCAATCACAGATAAACAAGAACTCCAAACTCGTTCGGTCCAATCAGGATGTGAAGTCATGACTTCCGGCGTGGAATTGTCATTCAGGAGATGAAAAGATATGGGTTTGTAGAGGTGCACGTGCCAATATCCCGTCTACAATTTTCCCGATCAAATGAAGGACACACTTTGTAGAGAGAAATTTCATCATTTATTGAATCAATGTCGTGAAGTTTCGTCTCAGTCCAATGGTCATTAGTATCTACAATATACATTTACAGATCTTCACTTATTGCTAATAATTGCTAATAATAGATATCTCAATGAGAATCAGCATAATTCTCGTGATTTGGCACTGAAGTATTGGAAGTTGATAATTCAGAAATATACTGGGGTCAAGGTGCCCTGGTTATTGATCGTTGAAGCGGTTATTTGATTCAGTTATAGAGCGAAATTGCCCAGTCGTAATTGAAGGGTTTTCTCATTTCGCTCGAATAGCTACTGGCGTTGTTTCCTTGGTCTTCTCGGATGAATCGATTTCGACGGTTGTAATAACTGCTTCCAATATTGTTTCTGGAATCTGAAAGGTCAACCAATTCTTTCTTTAGGGCGCGATGAATCGATCAAGGAGAGGTCGTCTTTTCATGATGCTTTAGACAGAAAATACAAACCTGAACAATCTCAACTTCGACTTCCTGCAGAACCTCATCCAAAACCGCAACGAGATGATCAACATTCTCATTTGTGAATACCATGGGTGGTTTGAGTTTCAATATATTATTGTCCGGACCATCAGAACTGATTAAAATCTTCTCATCCTTCATCCTGGACACGACATGCTCAGCCTCAGCAATGGCCGGTGTCCTAGTCTTCCTGTCCCTAACCAACTCAATCCCCACGAAGAGGCCAACACCCCTGACATCTCCAATGATTCTTCTCCTCTGCTTCAACTTGATAAGTTCGTTGAGCATGTGCTGGCCCACCTTGGCTGCATTCTCCTGGAGTCCCTGGCGCTCAATCACCTCCATCACGGCATTCGCTATTGCGCAAGACACCGGATTGCCTCCGTACTGTTAAAACAAGAAGACACTTGGGGGATTTTCTCATCAAAATTTTTTTACAACACTTCCACCCTTTATCTGGAGTGGCGTAAAGTGTTACTCATATTTTTACAGCCTACAATAAAAAAAGTGGCGAAACAACTTTCCACTTTTTATGATGAGCGAACGATTTTTATAGAGCTGCGTAAAGGCAACTTGTGCACAGTGGAGTATTTCTCATTCGCAGGGTTGAAGGAAGGGGATTGGGGGTAGGGTGGGTATGAGTGTGATAATCTGCTGGCTTTAGAAACCGTTAACGGCGTCGTAAAAGCCGTCTTTCGAGGACGAAGGGGTTGGGTATCAGTGACAGTTCTAACGGCCAAGCGTACTCCGTTGTTTTGTGTGGCATTTCCATCTCTTGTGGTATTATAACGAAATGGAAATGGGAGCTCAATGGCTCCATATTTCGGGGAAGTTTGTCAGTTTCACAATGAAATGTGTATTTTTTTCTTTTTACAGAGGGATAGGAGGTTCAACTGAAATCCCTTCACTCGTTAAAAATTACTGGTAATTCAATGTGAAGCTGTTGCAATTGGAAATAACATGAGCCGAACTCTGGAATATGGATGTCGTCGTAAAACGGAATTTATCTGATTTAAAAGTCAAAGTGAAAGCAAATAGTTCAAGTTGGAGTTCATAAAGACGAGTATACTAACAGTGTTGAAGTACTCCAGTCCAGTCTGTTTAAAGCTGTTCGCTATCGCCTGTGTAGTTATGACAGCCGCAACTGGATGACCATTGCCCATTGGTTTACCGATGGTTACAATATCCGGAATTACGTTCTCACCGTAAAGTTGAAAAGCCCACATGTGGCTACCGACTCTTCCGAATCCCACCTGCACCTCGTCGGCAATGCACACCCCACCAGCTTCACGTACGTATCTGTAAAAAAGACTGATTTTCAGTGCCACATAAACCCGACAACCGAGAATCACCCGAATACTCAAGAACTAACGGACCCCTCAATGAAAAACTGTGCGGAAATTTCACGTGACTTTGTGGTCGTTGGTAATAATAATAATAATAATTTGCCAGAAAAAAATGCACCTTCCACAAGAGGAAATGGCAATTCGCAAGTTTCCCAACGATGTTGTACCTCGAATAATGGAAAATAGTCACGTACTTATAAACATTAGTGTAATAACTCTCGGGTGGTAGAATCTGTCCACCAACGGACATGAGACTCTCGGAGATGAATGCACGGAGCTTCTTCCCCTGTGATCTGACATCATCGCAAATCCTCTTCACGTCCTCAGCGTACTTCTCACCAAGATCCTCATTCGGATAGTCGGAGTCTCGATATTTTCCCCGGTAGACGTCTGGACAAGGTGCCTGTGCCGTTGAAAAAAAAAGAGAATAAGAATTCTCAACAAAAGAAAGTAGTCGAGCGAAATTTAGGATGGAATAGCACTGGATTTGGTGGAGGGTTGAAAATTGTCGGGTTCCAGACTGGAAAAATTGGCCTGGTAGGAAATGAGGAGAGTGGGTATCGTTTGAATTCTTACCACGTGCACCCAGTCCTTCTTGCCATTTTTCAGCCGATTAAACTTGTAAGGCGATATGTCGATCATCGACGTCAAGTGGCCGTGATAAGCGCTAAAACAGACGAAATAACCGTGAGTACTTCAATTTCCAATTGATCCCACGATTATTTTCCCTGCATTAAAATGATAATAATGTCGTAAGAATCCGTAGTTTTAGCAATGGCCTTGGAAGTGTTCATCCCGGCACTGAAAAATTTTATCAAACTACTCATTTAATTTTCCCCTGGAAAAATTCAACCAGAAAATATCTCAATTTTTTACACCACGAGTAACACAGAATTTTTGTTAATATCTTAATGAGTTATTAGCTGTTATTTCACGTGCCAACTTCTCGTTTTCTTATCAATAACGTCTCACGTACGTCGTCTCGTGTCACCTAAAATGACAAGAGTATTATGATGACCGATAAATCCTCGGGATGATTTCAATATTTTTCATTTAGATGCAGACGAGTGGAATTCAGCTCTTTAGATGTAGTAAGCTGCAAACAAGCAAAAAAACGTTGTGTGACATTAGTATTTTCTCACATACTGGTCATGTGTTGGTTACATTCATCTGGAATTTTCATACAAAGAGTTACAACATTCGCCAATTAATCAACCGTCAAAAACATCTAAAATTTTTTGTTGGAATATAGCCTGAGTCTTCTATGAATTGATTTTTTATGAGTCAATGGTTTCAAAAATGAATTAACATAAAGAGAGATGTTAGGACTAAAACATAAACATAAGCAATGAGGTCATGTGGCAGAGGGACTTGGGATCCTTTGTCTCGGGATGACGATTTTTCATTTAGTCTCGTTAACCACTTTTAGTCTGCTGAGGCAAATCATAGAGAACGGACATTTCTTCCTCGTGCCATTTTTAATAAATTAAAATTAACGTATTTAATCCACTGTGTTTAAATTATTTTCTCAGCCCCCCACCATATTCCATTATTTTTCGATTCCGTGAAATCCGGGCATCTTAGATATCGGGAAATACCTTCGACCACTTGAAATTCTAGATATTTTTGACGGTATCTTTCCGCTCATCCTCGCTACGAAGAAAGACGCAAGTGGCGATAACGATCGAGCGAATCAGCAGAAGGCCATTGAAAGAGTTCAAGAATTGATTAACAAGTGTCTTTCTTCGTCAGCAAAAAATCCCAGCGCTGGGAGCCAGTCAATTTTTTTTTTCTTTCCTTTATTTTTTCGTTGATTTTTTTCATTATTATTGTGAAACATTGATATCGGGATTGCTTACTGATCTAGAACGATGGTATCTCGGCTTCCGGTGTGAGCCTCAGCAAGGCGTAGAGCAAGATCGTTCGCCTCGCTTCCAGAATTTACGAGGAAGCACACGGACAGAGGCTCTGGAAGAAGTGATGTCAATCTTCGGGCGCATATCACCAAGTTGTCGTGGAGAAATCGATTGTTCGTGGACAATAAGGACATCTGCTCCTGTCCTGCTCTCACCACGTCCGGATGGCAGTGGCCAACTGTGAAACAACCGGAAATTCTATCACTTCACTAGGGAGTTGTTGATATCTTCTTCTGTATCATCTTTAGACATTATTATTATTATTGTTGTTATAGATTTTTATAAAAAAAAAGACAAGTCACCAAGAAGACCTTCCACATAATCTTTTATCGGTTATCCAAATGCTTTGTGAAAGATTCGCAAAAGATAAAAACATTAAAATAAAATCATTCATCAATGAGATGTTCTGTTTTCGATGACCTACTCCATCATCATTATCAGAAATTATGGCAAATATAATGGAAATCTGGTTTCGTTTGAGAAGATAAAGAACATGCCGGAAATTTCCACGCATTATCACTCTGGAAAATAGCAAATAGCAAGTCAATAGCATGACTATCGGCTAATATTTTTCGTAGACAAGTGATTTTCCATTATCATTGCTCTCGGTACCAGAATCCGAGTGATCATTAATTAAAATATCAAATTCACCAGTGGTGTAACACCAGTGAAAATAGATCGTCAAAATAGATCGGACCCGAATAAAACAAATCTAAGATTTGGTAATCGATTATATCATTACCATGCGCTACGTTGTTGATACAGTCGAGATAACGCTCACCCCTCTCGTCATACATGTATTGCGCGTTGGCACGAACTATTTTTAGGGGATTTGATTTGTAGAAAAGCTTGCACGATTGTCTGCAACAAAAAATTGCAACAAAAAAAAAAAATTCATTACACCAAAATTCAATTCAATTATCTCAATAATTACACGTGTATTGTAATAATTTATCAAAAATTGATATCATTGCAGCGAAATTCACTTGGTATAATATATTTCTGAGGAATCGGTGAACGTGTGGGTCATAACTCTCAACTCCATATCTTTCAGCATTGGAGAATATACGTCAATTGTAGGAGCACGTGCTACGTGCCCACCCTGGTACTCCCCTTTCTCCTAATCCTTTCTCCATTCACTCCTCCCCTCTCTCTCTCTCTCTCTCGCTCCTCCCCTCCCACCCCATCATTCCGGTGAACAGCGAAAATGGAACGAGAATGTGTAACATTGGCCCGAGCCACCTCTGAATTATCGTCCCATATATATAACCATTTTATCAAATTCGAGTCGCAGTACCTCGATAATATGCTAATTTGCGCGTTAGATCGTATTTGAAAGGGTCCCCCCATCCCCCCTCCCACCCTGTCGTCCAGTGTTATCGAAATGACCCCGGCAACATTGTCCCTGATAAATCTCCACCCGTGGTTACATACTATCTGGATATGGGTGGATTTAATTTTCCACAATTGGATGATATTAGTTTCACCTCTGGACAATAAACAATTGGCTTTATCCGCTGAATATTTCATCAGTATTTCATGAACAATCGGGTGTGGGTGATTAATTATCTGGGACAAACAGATGATTAAAATTATTTTTATGTTTCATTGGGCTATCTATTTTCCGGGTTGGATGGGGGTCATTTGGGAGGGCGTTGGGGAAATTTTGTGATTTTTTTTTTTACAGTTTACTCACCCGATGTGACGCTCGCGAAGCTTTATGGTGTCATTTTTTGACATTTGCTCGAGGGTCTCCGCCCGCGGAGCTGTTATTGTTGGTGTCATCCTCGGGAGTCTTGAATTTCAAGAGGATATTATTTGAAATTGTAAGTGGAAATTCATGGAAATTATTTTCGGCAATTGAAGATTTACTAAGGTATTAATGGATTGATTTTTTATGCTCTCATTGTCAATTTTTTTGTAGAAAATATGTTGGCGAAACGGAAAAAATGGGAGTGCATTAAAAAGTAAAATTTATGCATTATATGGATTTTCTTTTAGAAGCTATTTTCGGATATAAGCGGAATGAAAAAATTGAAGAGACGGTTTACCTGAACTTGGCCGGGCCGTCACGGTTCCTCGATTGCCGAATGCAGTCGTCAGCTGAGTGCCACGACCTACTACGTGTGACGTCATATATAGCGCGTAAGTTGGCGGGAAAAAAAATGGGGATGTGCGCGCGCAATGAGTAGTGATTCTCCCGCCACATAGATTGAGAGAAGGATAAAAATTGATGATTGCACTCATGAGTACACCTTTGCCCCCCAAACCTCCCGATAACAATCAATTTATTCCCCAATTCTGAGATTTTTTTTTTTTAATTTTATTATTTTTTTCATTTTTTCACATCAATTTTTCGATGATTCTATAATTACTCGATTAGTCTTGTCTTAGTTGTTACCGAATTCATGACTCATGGTCGCATCCTTTTTATTTCCATAATGTCATCGTTAATCGCTCATTTAGCCATTCGTTAATGTCAAAAATAGACGAGGCTGATGGATTAACATTAGCATTGACGGCCGCCTAAATATATTAACAAGGAAACAAAGTTATGGTGATTAGAATTGGGATCGCAAATAGTTTTGTTATCGGACGAGCGAGGGTCACTGGAAGATTGATAGTCACGTGAAGGAGGCTCGTACCGCATGTGATCACCGTTGGCACCCTCTTCCCCGTCGCCGACTGAATAACCGGAATGATAAAACGTATCTATTACATGCTAACACGTGCAGGAAGTTGTGCGTAATTGTCCCACATACACAACAATGAACATTCAAGCGAAGAAATAAAAATTACACAAAGAAATGTCTCGTAAGGAAGTTTCCTGCCCAAACTGAAGAATTTTTTCTCATTCTCATGATTGAGGCATTAACCAAATGTACGAACCAAAAAGAATTTCATCATCATGATGGAGGATGTGTATTAATGAATATTTAGAGGCAAAGAGGCATATATTATACAAATCTGGGCGAGATCATCGTCTGTGTCAGTTTGATCACAAGCAATCGCATTTTCTTCGCATTTTTTTTCGCATTTTTATGAATTAATAACCACTGGAAGATGACAAAATATTCGCAGTCGGTAGGATTCGAACCTACGCTCCCAGAGGGAATCTGATTTCTAGTCAGACGCCTTAACCACTCGGCCACGACTGCATTTTTTTTTTTACTTAAAGAGTTTATTGCCATCATATACATATATACAGTGTATGTACAAGTAGTAATACTCAATAGCCAGATCTACAGCCCGTGGCTCTTTACCTAATATAATGAGGCTTAATGTAAAGTTGTAATTAATTGTAGTTGGGGATGCAGAAAGATAGATGAATAGGGAAAATAATGAAGATTTGAAAAAAAAAAACCCTATGGTTGACGGCCACGACTGCATTTTTTTTTTACTTAAAGAGTTTATTGCCATCATATACATATATACAGTGTATGTACAAGTAGTAATACTTAATAGCTAGATCTCCAGCCCGTGGCTCTTTACCTAATATAATGAGGCTTAATGTAAAGTTGTAATTAATTGTAGTTGGGGATGCAGAAAGATAGATGAATAGGGAAAATAATGAAGATTTGAAAAAAAAACCCTATGGTTGACGGCCAAGACTGTATTTTTTTTGTCCGCTTCGGGGTGCATAAGCTACATGAGTTCAAGGTGAGAAAATAACGAATAAACAGTGAGGCTAGATAGAGAAGAGCTGTCCTTCAAGTTATGAGATCCAAAAAATTCCTCCAAGGAAATAAAATAGTAAATAGTTGGTGATTAGATTAGATGATCAAACGTTGTCTGTTATAAACGATTTTGGAATAAGATTTTAGATTTCAGATTTAAATCAGTGATCAAGAAACTGCTGGAATTGTCATTGCTGATTTTTCTATTATGTACATAGATTAGATTTACGCTTGTCCACTAACTACGCCACACCTGACGTCTCATTTATTATGACTTTATGCCATTCAAACCTAAAATTACCTGACGTTGTAATTAAGGAATGAAAAACAAATATAAATTTAAATAATGGCAGAAATGAAATTTTGTTTCACAGACCAGTGCAGCAATCAATCATTCCACAAATAATCTTGGTTTCCAGTGATTAAACTTCCCAATCCGATGAAAATTCTGTCAAATAAATTTATTAAATTGAAATCAACTCATTGAAGGCAAGAGTCCGAAGGGAGATTTTAGGCATTTAGATGTCTCGAGTATATTTATGTAGCACTGGAAAAAATTTCCATCACGTACACGATCAGCGTCTAAATCATATTTACACATCGTCCGCCGATAAAAATTCAATGATTCCACATCAGTTATTCCTTACCTCTCGCAATTATCTTTCGAGTGGGTAGAATACGTCAGACGTGTTCTTGATTGATCTGTCAGCCGTGATATTCAGTATCTATGGGATATTTAATCAACTATTAAAGACAATTGGGTACACACAAACCCAATTGTCTTTCTGGATAAGTAATGCGCACTGGCTTAGGTGAATAATTCAACGGGAGGAATTCATTTCAAATGCAATCATGAATTTATGGCTTTATTCATTTATTTTTAATTATAAATTAATTTTTCTACACTTATCAGCTTCAGGAATATCTGAGGAGATTTAATTCTACTATCTTTCTCTCTTGATACACGTGAGGTATCACGCGAGCACGTGGCTGTTATCTCCAGAGATAAAATCACACGTTTCCTTATCACTCATAGATCTGCAAGCGAATGATGTACATTTATCAATCGTTTACGCGAGTACTTGAAAGTACAAAAATTATGATTAAAAATTTTACGCTATCTCACGACCTCAACTCTTAATAAATAGATTCCGTTTGTTAATTGTGACGTGTGAATTACTCGTGAGAGTCTTGCTCGGATAATTATACGAATCTGGTATTTGCATATCATTTGATAAGGCGCCGGTAGCTCGACAAAAAATCATCCCGTATTGATCCCAGCAAACATTTCCGCTCCTCTTCAATCTACTAGGGAGATTAATTAACGTCAAATGAGAGATTACTGCGTGAAAAATGTCAAATGAGATTTCTGCAATTTTCCATTATTGCAGTGTTACGTCACTCCAGCCGCCACGGGTCAGCCGCGGATTTTATTAATCTTGGCGTTTTATTTCGGTTTCATCAGTTCAGTCCGGATTCACGAGCGATGATTATTCGTTATTATCGTGACTCATGAATTACGTCAGAGGGTAGATAACTAAGTTTGGGGAGATTCGCTTTATTTTGCACGTGTAATTGGTTTGATTTGAGATTTATGTTTTGACTGCTCTGCGCTTCGAGAGAAGATTGAGTAAAGATTTTGGGGTAATGAACTTAAAGGCGGAGTATTGGTGATGATAATTCGAAAATTATCGATACGTGAAGAAAAAATTTCACAAGTGGACTGCTATCTTCATTCATTAATCGTTCATCCAGCCTTTCTATTTTTTTCATCTCCTTACCATAAACTAGGTCCCAGACTCTCAAATCTTCTGTGATCCTATCGCAAAACTCCCATTCGATTCAAATTTTACATATTTTAATCAAAAATTAATTCTACAGATACGGAAAAAAAAACTAGAGACTATTTGTTGAGTAATAGAATGAATTTATCAAGTAAAACATGTCCCAAAACAAAATTTAAATCGTAATATAATAAATAAATAACAATAAATTTGTAAATTACACATTAAAAAAAAATGCTCGCAGTCGGTAGGACTCGAACCTACGCTCCCAGAGGGAATCTGATTTCTAGTCAGACGCCTTAACCACTCGGCCACGACTGCTACTGATAATATTTATTAAAACGATAACAGGGAGCTGTTTTACCCATTGCCTCGCGTACCGGCTTGACCCAAATTAACCGTGATTTTCTTCATAAATGATATAAAAAAAATTTCAATTCGTTAAAAAATAATAGCTGTTAAAATTATTCTTTTTTTTAATTGTTTTTGTGAACGGTTTAGTCTCTACTGAAATGTAAAATTATGATCTGTATGGAGCAGTCGTGGCCGAGTGGTTAAGGCGTCTGACTAGAAATCAGATTCCCTCTGGGAGCGTAGGTTCGAGTCCTACCGACTGCGATTAATTTTTTTTTCTCATTTCCTTCATAACAATTAATTAATACTAAATTATTATTAATTCTATTGATACCATTTTGTTAAACTGATTTATTCGATTGAGTTCACTTGATACGAAGACTATGAGTTTTGTAATGAAAAGAAAAATATTTGAATGTTAAAATGCCAAAAAATCGCAGATCAATTGAATATTAAAATGCCAAAAAATCGTAGATCAATTGAATAACGTGGACGGGAGCAATAAATTGACACATTATTTTTCAATATTCTATTAAAATTCCGAATACCTTTGATTACATCAGCAATCGACGATTTACGAAACTCCTCATCACAATATTCACAATAAAATCCTATGGCCGCTGCACGTTATCTTCATGATGAATAACCATAGACGATGGACTCGGTGAGAATATTAATCGGTACCTTACATTTTGTTTTTTATTCAGAGGAGTTTTCCATATTCCTGACTCAGTAATTCGTCACTAAAAATTGATATTTATAAAATATTTAAAACCTGCTCAGTAACACATAGAAGTTGAAAAATCTACTGATTAATTTTGGGTAGATGATTCTAATGATTTTCTCATATGCTTTATTATTTATGTAAAATGGCCGTTAGTGGCCAAGTAACATAAATCATTGTGACACAGATATATCATGATGTCTAATATTCACATACAATTATTAGGATCTAGTGCAAAAAGTCCAAACTGCGCAGATTTTTTAAACTGGTATCTCAACCAACTGAAGACTGGGACATTTTCCAAAAAGACTATTACATTTTTATTCAACGAAAAATTCATTCTGTTAGTGAATAATAATTTGTTTAAAAAAGTGAGATTACTATAATTGAAGAATTCCGTTGGTTTCGGAAATAAATTAAATTCAATCGATATCTTGAATATTTAATCTGCCGTAAGGCATTCAGCGCTTATTCTCAAACATTAATTTTTATTATTTACCAAAGGAGACAGACACACTCGTGAGAGCTCGCGTTTCTACTCCAACTATTAAAAGTTCCTTTTCCGTTCAATTTTATTTTTATCATTAAGTCTATACAAAGCTCTAAATCATTACTATAGCCTTGCCTCAGCGAAGGAATCTTCAGCAATTTTTCCCCTATTTGTTTTTTTTCCTTATTTTTGACCAAGTGTAAAAATAGATTTTCATATTACTCTTCATTTTTTTCCGTACTCTCACCTCTTCATTTCTCATATTTTTTTTTCCACAAATTACTGGCTAGAAATGGGCGAAACAGAATCAATTGGGAGAGTTCAATAATATCAATCAATAGAACGGGGACTGATGATTCGGTAGAAACGCGAGTTTACATTATTCAGCTCACTTTAAGTACGAAATAATGCGAGAAGAGGTACTTTTCACCGCGGGATCCTGATGACAATGACTAAAGACATTTCTAATATCGGGTGTTTTTTTTTTCGAAACAAGCTAGCATTTTTACTATGACATTTTTCATCGGTTATTACACACAAGTGACTAATTAGGCTAACACATTTTTTTATAATTTCATCTAGATATATAACCCACTAATGATAACTCTGAGGATTATTACAACGGTGAGACATCGAGGATTTCAGATTATTTTCATTACCTATTATTATCTCGAGATTATTCTCTAGTCAGTTTTGAATCTGGAGATTCTAATCTTTCTTCGTCGAGGAATCCAAAACTTTTCAAATTATTCAATTAATCTCGCTGACATTGAGCAATCGTAAAAATCAAACCCAGAGGATTATTTCGACGTGGTGTTTGCTGGTGGCGTATGAAAAATATTAATAGAAAAGTTTTTATCTGAGAAATTCCTATTTCAATTTTTATTGAAATAAATAATTTTTTTTATTATCGAATTTCAATATAAGTTCAATGTAATTGTGTGTAATTTTCTCAGAGAAAATGCGGGGGTTTTCCATGAATTTTTTTCATACGACAATAAAACTTGTATGAATTATCGGCTACCAATTGAAAATTGAATGCATAATTGAGTAATTGAGTAAGAACAGTCGTATTGACGATAAAATAATATTTTTAGAAATCTTTGCTAACACACTGTTCATTACATATAGGCGTATCTTCCTGATAATTTTAATAACCTTAAGATTAAATGCGATTCCCCGTTTGACATTCGCGTGCTTAATTTTCCTTATCCCCACCGAATTGCTCGACTTGCGATTACTAATGAGCAATTCGTTGGGTGCAAATTGATTTCTATAAATAATCCTCTTCAACAATGGAAATATTTAACACGGGAGAATACATATGCGATTACATAGACCCGTGACTTCATTACAAGTCATTCGTTATTTATCATTACTTGTTCATCATCATTTTTTTTTTGGGAAAAAGTTCATCCTTCACTTTTCCCTTTTTCACATAGATTTTGACGAGGCACTGTTCAGTGTTCATACTAGAAACAATAACAATATTTTATTAGTTTATTCGTTACGAATACGAGGACAGGAGAATTGTCCGGGGTGTGGGATCTCGTGGTGATAGCGATCGTAGAAAATAAATCTTCTCTCTTACCGTTATCAATGGAAGCTAGAGGCTTTCTGGGGTTCCATTAGGGGCAGATTTTTTTTTTTGGCATTCAGACGGTAGATTTTTTAACGTTATTACTGCAATTACAGGTGGAGATAATTAGATAATCGTCGGAATTTGTTAGAGCTCAACTGAGGGGTCCTGAACTGAATTTTTATTTTTAATTCAGTGCTTAATGAAGAAATTTTGAAAAATTATACAGAAAAACTCGCCCCATTCGGTATTCAATTTTTTTCAGAGATTTTGCTCAAACCTTCCGCCTTTTTTCTGCTCATTTTTTTCAACTATTATATTTAATTCGTTTATTCTGATAGACAATTTTTTGTATTGATAGTTTTCTGTTGAATTCCCTGGACTTTAATTTTATATACTTTTTGGTTCGAGCTGTTGCAGACGTAAGAGGGGAAAAAAGTAATAAATTTAATAATAGGGAAGGAATTATTCTAGCGGCTGCGGCGAGTTTTCTGTTGAATTTTTCTTCATCTGAATGATGAATTATCCAATCCCCTGTTACTTAAATTAATTTATAATAATAGGCAGTGAAGAAATTTTTTTAGCGTCGAGGAAGTCCACTCGGGGACATCAAAGGAATGTCAATTAATGATTTTATTCACCCGAGGAAAATTTCAATTTTATGGAATCCATCCAAGTTTAATGAATCACGAAATATTGAAAAAATTCAGACGTTGGCACGTAATCGTAAATAAATTGCTTGATTAAGCTTACGCGACAAGGGAATCCGATGACGAGGTTCTCTCAGACTAAACGTGGCAGCAGATCTGTCAATAATCTCCCAATAAATTTGAGTTCCAGGTGATATGTAAACGTTCAATGCTACAATACTCAATATATTCTCCATAAATGTTTTCCATTAAGTTTTTTATTTAAATCAAAATCAAACTAATATAGAATTAATAATTAAAGAGATCATTTCCATGATGGATTGGTGTCGGGAATGACAGAACAGAAACAACTATGTGATGGATACAATGTTGTGCGTTAAATAAAAACAAAAATCTATTGTTTCATCTCATTGAAAATAAAATAGAGGGTATTGTGTACAAATTGATTAAAGTTCAACTGAAAATAACGCAAAAAATGTTAATCGATTGGCATTAATTTTTTTTTTCACATTATTCCTTCAATTCATATAAAAATTTCGATGTAATTATTCGAGTAAATATCTGTTCTATATTTTGTCTGTTCTCATACGTGTGGCATTCTCGCCAGTTATATATTTTTTTTTTCGCTACATAAATAGTGCTTTCGGTACTAAATTCTTGTCACAAAAATCGAAACAAACAAAAAACTACGGGATATAGAGAAAAACTACTCGAAGATGCGTGAAAAATTCATCCTATCTATAGGCGAAATAAAATTTACTATCTAATCGAGGCTAATGAAGTTATTCCTTCTACTACGAAAAATGAAGTGATTCTGATGCATCGGAATAATCGATGATATATAATTTGCTTTAATAATATCTCGTGGCCGATTATGGGAATTCATGCCTGGCTCGAGTATTCATTTTGATTTACAATTCGTGTATAACTGAAAAGCAGACATCGACGAAGGAAAAAACTCAAGATTACATTTTTTTTTTGCATTTTTCCATTCTTTTCTCTCTTCATACTAGACGAAGGATTCTCCAATTTTCCTGGACCTCGACGACATCCAGTTTCCCATAATTTTCGTCATCTTTGCCTGGAGGGATTAAAAATGAATGAATGAAGGATTAGGAATTGGTCCAGGGCTTGAAAATAGATGACCAACAGGAGTTTTTTCGAGACCCAAGAAAAATGAAATGAAAATTGATTCGTCAATGGACACTGACTTATGATAATCAACTGCATTCTTCTCTATTATCGAATGTCTCACGTGAGACATTATCACGCTGTAAAATCGCTACTTGTGATGATAATGACGGACGACCGGGCAATCTGTGTTGATACTGTCCATCTATAATACACGGTATTGTGATCTTGTCCCAGGCGAAGTTGTTCATGGCGGCCATGATGTGTTGATGCTGTATCATAAGGGCCTGATGTGGATGCAATGCTGTCGCTGTTTCTTGAGAATGAGGTGGTGGATGGGGATGAGATGTGAGCCACGTCACGCCTGGCTCTGCTCTGTGTCATTTGCCATTTACCTGGAGTGCAGCGTTTATTTGAGCCCACAGTTCTTTGTTGCAAGCCGGAGACCTATCATCATTATAAATAACAAATAATTACTCATCGATATTCACTCGATCCTTAGATATGTAATATGATATGTGCATATGTAATCGTTGTTTATTCCACAAGTTTCATATAAATAATTTACTCCGGAATCTCACCTTTTCATGGACTGCAGCCACTCTTTAAACTGCGTGTGTCCCTCCGGTGTAATATGAAAAGCAGCCCTGGCAGCGCACACAACACTCGCAAACTCCTCATACTCCCCCGTCATAAGATGGTACAACTTGTGATGAAGACACTGAATATACATTTGCTGGCACTTATGAACCAGTGGTGCAAGAACAGCAGACCTAAGATTTTGAATGAATAACGCGGGATTGCTCCTGGACAAGTAATTAGCAGCCTCGAGAGCGACATCATGAAGAACAAAAGGACTGACAATGCTATTGACCGTGCAAATGCACAGCTGATGAAAGCACTGAGTTCCCAGTCGTTTGGATATTCTCAGTAGCCACTTGACATCTTCACCATAGGGTGGATTTCTGGCATATTTAGCCTGAGGTCTATCATCATGAACTCTCCTGGCAAGAGTTTCAAGTGCAAGCATTCCAACTCGGTAAGCAGCAACGAGAGCCCTCATCTGGTGAGGGCTCTGTCGATGGACTTGTGGCTGAGGTCGCACAGTACTCATGATGGGCTGTGGCTGCACCATCTGTGGCATGTTGTGCTCTGGCTGGACATTGACAGCCATTGGCTGCTGCATGGTGAACATGTGATGAGTTCCAGGGCCAGGATGAACGTTGACGGTTGTGACAGTGGGCTGTGCATAATATTGCTGGACTGTTGGGGGTTGAGTGACAGGTGGTGGATGCCGGGGGTGTTGTGGATGTCCAGGATGGGGTGGAAGGGGTTGATGAGGCTGATGAGGTGGATGGGGTGGGTGCGGTGGAATAGCAGCGTGATACATCTGCATGTGGGGAGGAGGTGGTAGTGCTACTCTATGAGGGGGCATAGGTCCCCCAAAGGTGGGCATCGGGTGGAGTGGATGAACGAAACTGTAAGGACCCACTGGATAGGGTAGGCCAACCCCAGGCACCAGAGTTGTAATTGTTGGGTGAGGAGGATAGGGCTGGGGTGGCTGTGCACTTGTGACAACCGCCTGTGGCTGAGGCATCATCTGGCTTGCATTAAGATCCACTGGTGGTCCTGGCTCCACTAGAAGTCCACCACTGGCATCCAGCTGGAGATTCTCATGCGGAATCTCGTCCTGCTGCTCTCCACCTGGTGTGTGCCTCAAATACAGCTCATACCAGTATTTAGCAACCTGGAAGAGCACCTCCGGATACACTCCGCCCCCTTTAGCTGTGTTTTCCACGGTTATGCAGGCTTTTTCAAGCATCACTGCCGATTGCTCTTTACATTGGAGAATTGCTCGTTGAATCTCGTTGGGATTGAGAGCGTGAGCGTGGGGTAAACAGGAGAGTGCGAGCTCTGCTGCTGCCCGTACCATATTTGGATCACTTCCACGCGATGATTTGTCAGCAATGCTGACTGCCTCTGGGGGCGTCAGATGACCCTCCCAACTGTCAATTAAAAACCAAATTGCTGGGGCACCTATTTCCATTGCCTGTCCTGTTATCCACGAGACGTGGGATGAATACGTTCTACTCAGCCAATTTGGGCTGACGCAGTTGTGAAGACCCAGAGCGTACAGACCTATCTGGAAGGCACACATGTGGAGGGCTCTGTGGGGTCCATGATGATTTTGGCTCGTTGAGGCTTGAGTGAAGAGAGATGTTGACGAGGTACCACCTGCCTTCAGCAGAACAGTCTTTGCTAGTTCACACATGAAATGAGCCCCTGCTTCTGACGGTTGATTTGGTATTGAAGGATACACTTTCTTGCTCTTGTACCTGGAATAGAAAGGGTTTTATTAAAATTGGCGATCTGAACTTGAAATATTTTTTGGGTGTAATTTCATTCCGCTCTTGCCTGCCTAACCTCGTTTCCTTCGTTCGGGTTGATACTGGAGCCTGGGATGGCTGAGGCTGCACTGTCAGTGCACTCATACCAGCCTCTAGCTCGGCACTTGTACTACTGTGGGGACGTGAGCTTGTGCCGGCTAGATTATCTGACATTGTTGCGTCTTTCGATGATAGGGGTGAGGAACAAGCTTTTGCTCGTCTGAACCCAGCCAACTAAAATTTCAACGATAAATTATCTATTAGTGCTCATCGCACTTTGAAAAAACCAGTGGAAAAAATAGGTATTGTTCCCTCATTTGACAAATTACCTGGCTTGTGGTTGGAGGATTCGAGCTATAATAGCTACTAACAATAGGTGACTTAATCAACTGATGAACCTCTCGATCCAACAGTTTGTCCATAATTTTAGCTAACTTGGTGGGCTCGTCCTTGTAATGCACAAGAAGCGTGATGGCTAGATCTCCCCTAGAAAATCACAACAAAAACAATAAACTTGCAACTTTGCCCCTATATCTCCCGCCATAAATAATGTCCTTCATAATACCTTTGTCTCCTGGTGCCCTCGCAAAGCAAAGGATGATCCGCCTCGCTGACATTAGCCTTCAACCCGAGTGCAGCGACAGCAGCATCGAATCCAAGATTCTCATCATTATCACTGGTCAACACCGACCAGTCGCCCTTCAATCTGGGTGTGTTAAGGGCATCAAAAATTAGACTAGCCAACATAATGGGTAGCAGTGCATGACCTCGAGAACGTAGAACACCATCTCTGAGCTGTTCAGCCCTCTGTCTCAGCATAGAGAGCTCAGGGGGACCAAGAGGAATTCTTTTAAGGAGTCCAACGAGCTCGCTCTCCTGATGCGCTAGCTTTACCTCCAGGGGTTTAGTGCTGGCTGGAGGTCTGGCCATCTCCAATCCAAAAAGTCCCACCCTAAATGCAAGATTGTGATGCTCAGGATTTTCAGCAAGTACCGTGCATAGAAAACCACATTTGGCTAGAGTGGCAGAAGCCAAACACGTGAGCTGATGAGAGGCAGGATTGACAGACTGTTTCTTTCTCTTGGATTTGACGGGAACAGGTGGCACTTCAACCATCAGATCGGGTGGATGAGAAAGAAGTTCCTCAGCCAACTGTACACCAAGAATGCATGCCTCTCTGGTGTGCCCATGTGCATAAAGTCCTTCAGCCCTGGCAAACAAAACATCCCATGGGTCCTCTGTTTTCTTGAGATTACCAAGTACAGCACTGGCATTGGCACTGCCTTGACTGTCAGCTTTACTGTCTTTTCCATCGGTGGCATTGAGGCTTGCAGCTGCCTTTGGGTCATAGTAATAGAAATTGTACTCATCCCCCGATGGACTGTCAGAGCTAGACGATGATGATTCGTCTTTGGAGGGCCGTCTCGATGGATCCTTGTTGTCCTTCGATGTGGACGCTTTTGGTGGTGTATTAGAAGTGCTCGGTACAGCTTCAATATTATTACTACTATCACTACTATCACTGAACGAGGCATTTGAGCGATGCTTATCTGAATCTTGAGCGTTTTTCATACTTGAATTGCTATTGGACGACAAATCACTTCCACCACCCTCTTGAGAGTCAGTATCGCCATTCAATTCACCGTAGCCACGTCTCACTAGGACAACAGGTGGTGGCAGTGGAAACATATCGCCATCATTCTCACAGAAACCCTCGGAGCTGACACTCGATCGATTTCCATCGCCTCCGCCACTCGTATTATTGGCACCGCTGCTGGGTCCTGGTGCATTGTTAGGATTTCTCGAGCAGAATCCAGGAAATTCTCGATTATTCAAGCACTTTCTCTCCATGTAGCTGAATTCAACGAGCCCCATGTGAGGACGTCGGCTGTGATGATGAGAATTTGGTACTTGACAGTTTAGAACAGCTGCCGATGAGTTCACCTGATTGACTTCGGTTCTACTGTCGCCAGCGTGACGAAAGCAGGTGAAGGGACAGTGATACATAGGATTGCTACCAGCAGTGTAAGTTATTCCAGGGAGTGTGTACTCCTCCCAGTCCAAATAACATGCCTCGAGGGCAGGTTTGAATCCAGTGAATACATCGATATCCGTCTTGAGAGAGTCTTTTTGTCCACCACCGTGATTTCTATTCTGTGTATTGTGAGTGACCGAGCTACCGCGACTCTTGGACACTTTATCCACGACCTTCATGTGCCAAGCTGTAAATTGTCCACGCAGTATTTCACGTTCGGACGGTGAAAGGCCTGGATTCAAAGCTGCTAGTCTCCAGAGGACAACGATCTCGTCGCACAGCGATGAGCAGGCATGCTGTGAGGCATGAGCATTGCTGTTCATGCTGCCGTGTTTACCACCACCATGGCCTGTACCATTGAGAAGTGCCACTTTGGTGTTGAACCACCACACGAGAAATTGTTCGCAAGCCATGCACTCCTCGGTTATAATCTCGAGCAGTGGAATGGCATTGCGATCAGTCCGCTTGAACATCTCACGAACAATCGAGAGTAAATTCCACATGCCCTCTGGTTCTCTTCCTCGTAGAGGACGAAGAAGTGATGACCATTCTGTGGCAGCTGGTGGAGCTGTTGTACTGAGATAATTCACATCGCTGAAAACAATGGGCGCTGGAACGCAGAATTTAATGAGAATTCGCTTGATGTTTCCGTGAAGTGTCTTCTCATCGAGATACCAAGATGTCTGATCGTGGGCCGAGGCACCTGCTGTGGGATCTGGTGCCCCGCAATAGCTGTTTATTGCGCTTGGCTGTGCTGATAGCAATTCGTCCAGCAAACGCTGCGCCGTTGGCAGAATCTGCTGTGGTAATTCGCTTATTAGGTATTGGGCGAATTTCTGGAGTTGCTCTCGGTGGAGGCGTGACAAGGACTCGCTGACTGGTGCTCGGAGACACACCTGCGTTGGCATGTGAATTCGGTGGAGACATACTGCCACAACGTGCGAACACCAGTAAGCTGTTGATGGACATGTGCAGTTGCATGAGATTATTCGACGACGATCGAATGTCACTGCGACTTTGCACTGGGTACGATCACCACCGGTCCCTGAAAATCCTTGGACATTGACGCTTGCACTCAGGTGAAAGCCTATTTGAAGGGGCTCTTTGACGCTACGACCACGGAAGAGGTGTTCACCTCTCTGAAACTCATCAGCACTGCCATTCGCCAGGCACGAGTACAAACGAATATCTTCCTCATTATCTGGAAAACTCCAGAAGGCTATCCTGAGCTGGAGTTGCTCGGGAACTGGTGGATAAACGTGCTCGACAAGCTCGAAGGGAATGTGAGACGCTACACACCGGGCTGACAGCTCGCAAAGTGTTGGTACTTGTTGACCTTCTGGAACCAACGGGTTTGTTAATTTTTTTCTTCGTTAAAAACTCAAAATTGCCTAACCGCCAATTAGCGCAATGCTTAGCAAATTTCTCCCACACTTTTTCATTCGTGTAGAATACATTAAAAATTTTATTTGTTTAATTTCGCTTTATGTTGAGGGGAATCCCCGATGAAACAAATATTTCAATTACTAACTTATTTCTAATTTATTCATCGACCGGTCGATCCACCCACGCCTAGAAAATCATTTAAATCTTTCCCCTGAGGAAACTGAAAGACAAATAGCGGATAAGTCTACTGCTCAGCCATCCAACCACGTACATGTGTCTTCCGGGAATTATTCGAACGGTGCAAACTACTCAGCGACGAAACGTTAATTACTATGAGTTAGTGGCCATCAGGAAAGTAGGCAAGGAGCGTTTGTTCACTGTCTGGTTGAAGCTTTTAATGGCTCACCAAGTGCAATGAGTAAATGGGAATACGAGAATGTGCATTAGGAGTGAGGGAAAAAAAAAAATTGGCGAAGAGGGAGCGAAATGGTAGAGGGTAAACGCCGAAGGCGAGGGTCGATATTTGAAGCCCATATAATTCTCTAGGATCTCTTCCAACTTTCGAATATTCGATTCGCATTCGAAGACGCCATTCTTCTTCCCTAGGATATTGCAATATGTTGGAAAAATGTTGGAAAGCAATAAAATTAGTTTTATCAGTAATCTTCTAGCTCTCATGGACATGAATCCACCGAGGCAAGACCATTGTAGTAATATCTTGCCAACGAATTTCTAAAGTTTCTGCTGAGGCAATAGAATCAGTTCATGTAGTACTCGAAGTACAAAATATAAAGCTTTATTTATCCGCTGTAAAAGGATAGGGCTCAAACCAGTGAAAGCCATCAAATAATGTTATATTTTACGAGACTCTTAACCAACGTGAATCTATCCCCCCGTATTTTCCACGAGCATCAAATTTATTGTTCGACCAGAACTGTTATTCTATTTTTAATATCCAACAAAGTGTGTCCACAAAATATGACGTATGACCAATTGAATCAGCTAGATCCATCTGGGTACCCGCATCACACTCTTGATTTTTTTGTGTGTCATTTCCCGGGAAATATAACACATTTGGATGGGAAAACATTCGAATCCTTTCAGCGTGAAAAATAAAGTGATTTATCTGGAGATTTGAAAACATTTACAAGAGACCTGTGCATTACTTGGAAAATTATTTGTCCAATTTGACGGGTTTATGCAAGACCCAACGAAATAGGAAAAAGCCTGGAAATAATCTCCATCTCGAATGGGGAAAAGTGTCGGAGTAAATGAAGGCGGGAAAATTGCTTAGCATTGGGGTACAAAAAAGCCGGAAAAAAAAACAAGAGGCATTACGCAAATGAGAAGAGGAGCTCTGCTGTTGGTCGACAGCTCCCTAGGATAGCACGCGAACAATACTTACTCCAAATGAATGCGAGAATATTGAGATAAAAAAAATGACGAGAAGACGAGAGAGAGAATTGAATGGAGGTGGTCATTACTCGAGAGCTTCATGATGCTGGTTCATTTAGTTCATGGAGAATTCACGCTTTATCGCTGAAAATCAATGATAATATAATTCAAATGAAGAGTCACCCGATGTTTCACGCCATTTTAAATCTCAGAAGATCCGGCCCACAAAATGGCGGAAAATCCTGCAATGGGAGATCAATTTGATTGAAATTTTCACGAAATGCGCTCTTGATTTTTTCTGAATTTTCTCCAGCTTTCAACAGAATGACAGACGAAGGGAAAGTAATAGATTTTATTTTCCAGAGAATTGTGCTCGGATCAATGGCTCGAGTAATTCACTCGTTTGGATTGTCATTGTTCCTGGTAGATGTCTGATAGAATACATTCATTCAGCCTCTCCATGAATTACATGCACAACTCAATGTAAAAATAAATGAGCTTGTGGTGGGGAGAGAGTAGGATGAATGGAAGTCGTTGTGAACCACTCGGGTGTACATTTTCACACTGAATAACGTTAAATTTGTAACGCGTGTGCAAACGAAGCGTAAATCAATGACCGATACTGAATCACTGCGACCTGGAGGAAACATCGAATATTTTGTAATTATTGGGTGGGCAATTAGCGATTGAAGAGGGTGAGAAATCGATGGGCCATGCCGGTATTTTATTATTTTTCCTATTTTTCTGAGATTTATTAAAAACTATCGATCAGATTAAGATATGATAATATATCGTTTGTCCGTGATTATCATTGACTCTTTCATAAAGTTTTATGTCGATACACTAATTTTTGTAATTTTTCACTAAAATTTATTGATTTTTTATTAAATTTTAGTAAAAAGTTACAAAAATTAGTGTATCGAGATAAAACTTTAGGAAAGAGTCAATCATGATGGAACGGACAAACGCTATATTTTCATATCCCAATCCAAACGATAGTTTTCAATAAATATTCGAAAAACAGAAAAAATAAAAAAATACCAGCAAAACATCCTTAACAGGGAAAAAAATCGGTTATTCGGGGCATTTACTAAATAAAGTAGAGAAATCTTCGTTAATTAAAACGTGGAAAATTTCAATTGTAATTTATTATAACAATTTCAATTGTAACAATATATTGAATTATCATTAAAATGTGGAGTGAACGGAATTTTGGATGATGGTGGGGTAGGGGTGTATTGGGGATGAATGGGTCGTAACAATTTAATCATGTTTTATTCGAAATGGTTTATTCTACATGGGCATTAATGGCATTGCCAGCCTACTAGCATTAATGGGCCGAGATAGAATCCACTGGGTTGTGGATCGCTTTTATATATCCCATGGTAGTGTAGGATCGATACTTGTTTCCATGGAAACGCTGGGCTTCTGTACTATACGAGAGGTAAAATGCGGATACATCTCAATGTGACTCCTACCCTCTCGCTGTTTCACTTTCTTTCTCACTCCACTCTCTCTTATTTGCTACCCCCAGTGTCTTTATCTCGCAATATTTTTCTTTGGTATCGGTTTCAGTTATCCAATGTACATTTCCCCTGCATTTTCCGGACTTCACTATTATCGGCTTCTTTCACTGCGTGCGTTCGTTGACTTGTAACTCGTGTCATCAAGAAAAATTGAACTTCAAAGACTATTGGCTTTCGGGTTTTTCCTGGGGTAAAAATTCACTCTTCTAGAGTTTTTATATTTCCGGATGTTGGATTTCGGGATTTCCCCGGATTCAAAATTCACTCTTCTAGAGTTTTTATATTTACAGGGTTAGAAAATATTTATTTCTTTGTTGGTGTGGGACCTTTCTTTTATGTTATGACAAAAAAAGGGGAAGTCCCGGAGGGTTAAGGGTGGGAGGAGAGATTATATTGCCCTCTGGAGAAAAGTTTGGCGTGGGCCTCACTAGTAATGATTAGTTAGTTCGTTGTAAGTCTTCGTTCAGTAAAGTACCTCTTAACTGTCTAGTCTTATAATTTTTAATAATAATTTTCAGTCTTCAAAATTCTCCAACTGTTTATTTATTTCGATCTCCATAATCCAATAAAGACAATTCAATTTTTCATTATTGCCTGACTTTTCACTATTCACCAAATTTTTTAAAAAATCTTTTTATACATTGAAAAAAAAAACTAAATGGCACAATTGCAAGTTCTTCACTTGACATTTCAGGTGTAATTTTCTGACGGTGAGACTTCTTTGTCAGAAGTTCTTTAGTCTTGGTACAGTTTGCCTGTTTTTGTAGAGAATTTTGTCGTCACCGTGACAAAGAAACGTTTGAAGATAAGATATACTGGGAATAACTGTCGCCTTTTTTTAATGGTACAATTTACCCAAAATAGCTTTCGAGGGGTAGATCAGTTTCACCCTCGTGTCTGAGAACCGACCGACCTTGAACCCAGACGAGGGTCCCCCCATTCCGAGGGATGAGTCGAAATACGGGGATGACAAAAAGGGAAAATCGTTGGAAAATTACTTGGAGAAAATCCAGGTGAAATGAAAATGAAATAAAAAAAAAATCCGAGGGGATATACATGTGGAATAAATGTTGAAATTCAAAATTATATTGCAGACTCATTAAAAAACTCATTAAATAAGCCTACAAAAAATACTGTAATTATGATTGCAGGGAGTGTCTAGAAAAAGTGAAACGAAATAACAATTTTTTTGCAAAATCGTTTTGCCAAAAATACTGGTGTTTCTAACCCGTCATTTTCCTGCGCACCTGAAAACCCCAGGTTAATACCCACAATTCCGCAGATATTTCTCGTAGCGTGACGAAGCGACAAGTGAGATCGCCAGCACCTGCGACCGGTTGCGGCATTGCCTTTTATTTATTTTTTTTTCTCCCCATTATTTATTCATACGAGCGGTTGAAACCGTCGTCCTGACCCTCCACACGTTTCCACGGAAAAAAGATTAAAGTTCCAGCCAACTCGAACCCACCACTTGGCAACAATAATTGCAATTAGACATCATTACACTCTCCCAGAAAATACGAGCACCGAGGAGGGATAAATAATTCCTAAAATACCCCTAATTGGATCAATTAGTGCCGACTCCTCGTCAACGAGTCTCCAACTCCCATTCTCTAGAAACTCCTCCATCGAATAGTTTCCGTCAAGGAGATATCCCTGAATTACGAGCTACAAGTCCAATAAACTCGATTGATCTCGTGAGATGATAACACCAGATAAGGAAGCCATGTTTACAAACACTATTGAACAATGAGAAGATTCCACATCTGACAGACCAACTTTCACAGATCTCTGGTTTTTAATCCCTCGAGAAATTGTTTTTTTTTCTCCATTTTTTTTTCCAACGGACGAGGATTGGGAGCTCAGCACTGACCTCCGACATTCTCGCCTGTCTTTTTTCCGTCTCTTATTCCAAGCCACGAAAATCCTCGAGACGGAAGACTCCGGCGCCAAAGACCCTTTGAATTCACAGACCCGCATCTGGGTGTGCAGAGTTGAATCATAAAAACGGACGAGAAGGGAAAAAAAAATGAAGGGAGGAAGCTAGATAATAGAGGCCATATACCCAACAGCCAAAAGTCTGGGGGGACATGGACTCCAAACCCTGGGCATTCGAGAAAGAGGAGGGCCGTCGTGAGAACAAAAAAAAAAGAAAAAAAAATACCGTGACGTGTAAACCAGGTGCATTGACTTCGGCAGAAACCGGATATCTACGACCTGTGAAGGCATTGCCTCATGTTTTTAAACAATTTTCATTTTGTTTCACTTCCGAATGGGAACAATTGTGTGAAAAAACATATGTGGCAAGAGTTTTTAAATTTATCTCCTTTTGGGCCCTAATGCATCTGTGGAATTGAATAATTATTCCATGAGAAATTCAATCACGAATTTCGGGGTTTCTCCGAGTTCAAAATTCACTCATCTAGAGTTTTTATATTTCCGGGTTTAGGAGATATTTATTTCTTTGTTGCTGTGGGCCCTTTCCTTTTTGTTATAACAAAAAAAGGGAAAGTTCCGGAAGGACTTTCTCATTGCGAGTTCTTCCCAAAATACACCTGGCGACCAGAGAGGGTCAAGAAAGAGAAAAATCCAAGGGTTGAGGGTGGAAGGAGAAATTATATTACCCTCTGGAGAGGAATTTAACGTGGGCCTCACCAGTAATGTTTAGTCCGTCCATTGTAAGTCTTCGTTCAGTAAAGTACCTCTTAACAGTCTAGAGTCTTCTAATTTTTAATAATAATTCTCAGTCTCAAAATTCTCCAAGTGTTTATTCATTTCGATCTCCATAATCCAATCGTTAACTTCCATTATTAGTTGGATTAACTATTTTTTTTTGTCTCCACCATTTGTGGAGGGCCGTTAACTAGCATTGTATACCGAATACTAAAATAATGGCAGCCAACAATTCACGTTACACTTAACACAGACCAAGACAATAGACCTCCTGGAACAATTCCAGGGGATCCACCCTCGGAGTGTGCATGCTAGTTCAACTTAGGACAATTGTTCGACAATAACAGTGCTTTCATAATCATTACGTTACCCTCACAATGTTTATAAAAAGTATGCAGGGCGAGGGGAAGAAGCTATCAATAATCCACATCCATTGGATTTATCCAGTATTCTTTATATTATAGGGGTTGCAGCCTGACAATTTTTATCCCATTTTTGTGTATTTAATAAAATTCATGTGCTTTGTATCGTTAATATTTTCGCGTATCCCGTAAATCTTGTCTGTCGAAAGCAGTTTTTTTATCTCGGTATGGGTTCATCGAGGCCACTTGAAAAGCCAGTAGTGATCAACCACCCTGATTCATTTCCCCATGAACGAACTGGCACTAAAATTTTTCGTTTGACGCTTTTCAGAGTGATCGATCGACTGAATAAAATTTTCCGATATCAGTGAAGAGCAGTTTACCCGTAAAATTGCCGTATAAAAGTAAAAAGAATATTTAAGCAATGAATCAGTGGTATCCGCATGAAGAGAAAAATTATTTCAACTAAAGTAAGAAGTAAATAGTTCATTCATAAGGTAGAATAATTTTTTATCCAGCATGAAATTTATTTCATAGATATTTCAGAGGAGTCATTGTTCTCACTGCAGAGAACGGACTAATTCAATGTTTTTAGTTTTCATAATCGTCATGGAGAAACTTTAACAACACAAGACCATTAACTCCACCATCCGTCTCCATTCCGTCGCTGTATTTATTGCGAGCAGACGCCCAAAAGAAACTCAGCAGATGATTAATAGTCTTGGGAGTTGCTATTGGTCCCCAAAGGAAGTTCAAATATATTGGCAAGGTATTAAAAAAATGAAGGGAGACGCAACGGATAATCCCTCAGCCTTCTCTCCCCTCGTGGAATTTATTCATTAAACGGTATTAAAATTTTATCATTGTCACACTAAAATTGTTATTATAGAAATTGAATATTAAATTCTAGTGGATTTTAACAAATTTCCCCGGATTAATTGAGAACCGCACAAGGGCTTGATGTATGAGTAAATGAAAGCACCCCCCCTTACCGCCCACCTCCCCCGCAACTGACGCTGCGTTTAATTGAATTTATAGCTCATTACGGGAATGTAAACGATCGGCGATCAGTGATAATGGGCAAGGATATAAATTCATATGACGTGAATCCGCTCGTTAGCCCGCATACGCAGTCAGTATGTGGACAAATGGCTCTGGCTATTACCAGGAAAATTCCACCCCCAACAGTTGAAATATTTTCACAGAGTTTTCCAGTCAATTCTCCAAATTTTTATCATAAAAAATGATTATAAAAAATGTGAGTAAAAACTTGTGATGCAAATTGCTTGAATTTTTTAATATCAAAGACGTATTTTCATAATATCAAAGACGTATTTTTCAAAAGAAATTTTGATATTCGTGTTGGGAATACTGAGAAACTTATCGTTGAGATGTGATTGCAGTGAAATGTTGTAGGAATAGGTGTCTTGTCTGGAGAAAGGGAGTCTTGATCGAAGAATCCAATGGATATTGAAGAGGGGAGAAGTAACCATCATATTGTACCTTTCATTATGTATACCAAAAGGGGGAGGGAGGGAAAACGATGCAGAGAAGGAGAAAGTACATAAATAAAGAGCCCTTATACGAACAAAATACTTGATATTGTAACAACATCCAGGGACAAAGGAGACGTATATATCGGCAGGGACAGGTTGTAAAGAGAAACCTCGTCTCACCAGAGTCTATACAGAGTGAAAAATTTATTCCAAAGACTCCTCAACATTGCTGCGAAACTTTCACGACTTCTTTCTCGGTTTTCATGAGCTTTTTTCCGAGATTCCGAGATAATACTGAATGTAAGGTTGAGCTGGTGTTTGCCTTTTTATTTTCCTTTATCCCTTGACAATTCCTTGATATCGCGTTTGTAATCGTAACAGTGAGATATCGAGTGGAGGAGAATGGCGTTTTCGAGTCCTTGATCCGCAATCAAGGGTTCGAGGCCGAAAATAAATAAATTGAATGACAAACGTCGTGGTATGGAGTAAAAGAATGTCGATCGAGTCATTCATGGGAAAATATCTGTTTCTTTTTTCACCGAGGTATTAACAGGAGGGAAATTTTAGGAGGAAGTGACGAATGCAGCATGAATCAGAGAATCTCGAGACATTCCAGGGACAAGTGATTTTTTGATTCATTCAATTTAATTCTTGAATGCCAACTTGTACGGATTTTTGAAAATTTTTAAACTATAGATTTAGAATAATTGAATTAATTATAGAAATTTCGTGATTTCCAATAATTTTCTGTGAAATATTTGAACGAAATTGAGAATTTTTTTTCTTTTTATCCTGATATTTATGTTTTTCCGGTGGTTTGCATTCCTCTGAATAAGTTTCTTCTCATTATTCAGCGAATTTGGTGTTATTGTTAATAAAAAAGCGTCGAGACTTGGAGAAACGTGGACATTAACTAGGACATTGACGGTAATGTTAGTTCTCCCCGGACAATGGATCTGCGAGGCAGTGACAAAGGAGATTGTCAGTCACTGGAAGATGAATGTACTCGTGCGAAATGTATTAGTCATGAGGATGATGCAGGTTCACGAAATAGAGTGCGATTCAGAGATCGAATGAGAGTGCCACTTCCACACAACCGGAAATTCGTTGGTTTTGAGTGATAAACGATTCGAAAAATCGATTCAAAGTACAAACTAAAAATAAAATAGCGCCTATAAATTTATAAATCTTAATAATGAAATATTAATGTTGGATAATTGTCTGCTCTAGTTGGAATAATTTCTGTTGTCAAGTGGTAAACAATTTGAATAATAACGAAAATTGAGAGGGACGTACCTTCAGAGGGTTTCTTAGAGAGTCCAAAGCCAGCAGGCGGTCGTCTCCATCCTCGCCAGTTGTTGATGAGGGATTCGGCCTCGCTGCTCCAGCTGCACAGCGAGTCCTCCTCAAATCTATCTGAATCCTCGAAGGAATATCCATCTGCCTCCTCCCATACTTCGAGTATTGCCCTCGCTTGTGCACCATCGACGACCGGTGGATTCCGTACAGCATTATTGGCCCCTCCACCCCCGTTATTACTCCCTGCACCACCACCACTGCCACCACCGCTGGCGTTTCCACCCACCACCACGGGGGAACGAGCCAGGTTACCCGCCAGTTTTAATTCAAGGTGTTCTACCCACCCGCAATAACTACCACTTTAAAATTGATTTTTTTTTTCTTTTTCTTTTATGGGGGTGAATTATCCCTCATACGCTGGGTATCGATCGACTCCAGTGTCGATCCCCCCAACCTCTCAGCCCCCCGGACGACGCCACTTTACTGACCTTCCACAACTCTGAAATTCCAATATACATTGTTATTTCTTCAATTATTTATAACGAAAGTTTAGCAATTTTATAACAAATAAAGGGCTCTTGACTTGTCTCCCAAATAAATTCGGAATTACTCTGTTTATCATATTCTTCCCTCAATTCTCGTTTCCCCTCACAAATATTTATGTGATTCTGTGTATCACAGTTCGGATTATCGATCGAGGTCATAAAAAATCGCATGAATGAAAGAATGCAAAACCCAATTCGATAATTCATTGCGCAAACAATAATGCAATATCTCTGCCAGCTGAAGGATATTTTTATTATAGCACAATCTCGTCAGAGCGTAATATTCGAAATTCGTTATTCAATAATTTCGTAATTCCCGAGGAAAACCTTGAAATTATTATTGATACACATACCCTCCTCCAGGTATAAGTGGGGCCTTTCACTCGGCATCCCCCAGACTATTAAATTTAAATTCTTATTTCAAGATAAACATTTTACTTTCACCGGGTAGCGCAAGGTTGAGGGACGATTGCATCGCGTCAGAAATCAACGCGCAATTATTTTGTTAAACACGTCCGAGCGTTCATAACAAGAAACAAGTCAGACCGCAAACACCAGTATTCCGAAATAAAATATCAATTATTTCGCGTTTATCAGAAATTTTGAAATATTTATCCGAGTTTTAGGAGACGCTAATAAAGATAAACCGCAATTAATTATTTATCTCATCCCTCTCGACCGGAGAAATCCCCAGGAAATGGAAAAAATACGGATTTCCACGGAAACTATATAAATTTCCACATGGAAAAAGTGAAATTTTCAAAAATATATGACTAAAAATATAACAAACAGTTCCACTTCATGAAAAAATATTTTTCCACAAGGAACTGGCCTAAAAAACCAAGCGTATGACCATTATTATTAATTGAGAAATATAGAGAAAAAAAAGAAACCGTTCGATTGGTGAAAAAAAATCATCCTCCATAAAAAAAAATGGGCCCTTCACAAAGAGCCATTGAATTCCCCGAAAACAGCTGATTCCTGTTTTTCCCAGCGGTATTGATCCCACCACCCTTAATTTTCCAGCTAAACGGTAATTCCCCGGAGCAGTCAGAGTGTCTCTTTGTCTAACGCTGAAATAAAAACAAAGGATAGAATTCCAAGAAAGCGAGAAAATCGAGGTGATATGTAACTCGGGGGTAAATTAACCGTCTGAAAAATATAGAAGCCTAGAATATCCCTTGAAAAACATATGGGACGCCATCGACAGCTCGTGTCTGTCACCCTGGACTCCCGCAACAAGCGACAACTGACATAAAATACCCCAGGGTGAGTGAATTCGTCCATCGACCCCTCACCTCCTGGAGGAACCACCCCACACCCCACCTGCCCCCTCCCAGCTAGAGATGTCTCAACAAAGGCGCCAGATAAAACTAAAATCCCCCTACAAAAGTTCAACCTCAATCACCTCCTAAAACAAAAAATCCAACCAGAGAACAAAGTACTCTCACCTTTTTGTTGTCTCCTCTCTCCTCCCCGTCTCACACCACAATTTCCCAATTTTTCAATTTACCAACTGCACAATCACCACACAAGTACCCCCAACAACTCCGACTTGAATTACAATTTTCAGAATAAACGAATTTCCCGATAATTTTCTCCACTCGGAGTTTCCCCCATGAGAATTGACGCTTCACAGATTCACCCACAAAACACCTCAGCTCCAACGATTAATTAATGAATTATTCTTCACTGAGATTGTCATAATCGTGATGTTGATATTTGTAATTGTTGTGTGGAGGTGTGAATTGTTTTATGACACGGGTGAATTATCGAGGATGAGAGGGCCCCCACGACCCAACAACAAGCCAGAGTTTTTCACTGAGTTCTAGTCACTCTACCCCAATCGACGACAACAACAAATATGGCTGATGTTTTACTGTGGACTCCCTGGTGAAAAACCCATTCGTGAAAGTTCGCTAGTTCGTCCCCAACCCCCGAAAATGCACGAGTGGAAAAGTTACCGTGTATGCGCGCGCGCCACTCACGTCACTAGATTACACTAAACTACTTCTCCTTTTTCCCCCAAGAGGCGCGCCATTATTCTTCATACTTTTCAATTTCAATTATATATAAAATAATTGTTATTAACATTTATTATTGCAGATAGACTTAGTGAGTCGGATTGCTGGTGAGTGGAAGTGAATATTTCAATCCAAAACGTCAAACTTTGCCGCTGTATTTTTGGGAAGTTCCTTGCTAGAAGTTTTTTGGGGGAGAAAATTTGAATTTGCAGTGGAGAGAACGGAAGTTGCCTTCTTTTAGACTTCCTGCTTCGGTCGGACTGTATACAAGGGTCTCCACTAGGTACTATTTTTCAATAATTTCGGTGATTAATAATGATTCTTTGAATAAATAGTGGTTCTGAGTGATTTGAGGGATTCGTGGGAGTTTGTTTATCGGTTTGAGTGGTTTTATTGTAGTTCCATGGGGCGGATGTTTGTGGATGAAAATTGAGGACGTGACGAGGGGTTAGGAGAGCCCGACATCGACTGTCATAATTGAAAAGGCTAATTGTTGATGGAGTTTTGTTATTTGGGCGGGTGATTTTGTTACAGTGATTTGAATTGTGGGTGGTCTTGTCTGGATTATTTTGGGTGGAGTGATTAACCTATGGTTCACGTGTTATTTTACAGCAACAATGGCACCTAAAAGGGGTAAGGTTCAGAAGGAAGAGGTTCAGGTTTCTCTGGGACCACAGGTTCGTGAAGGAGAAATCGTTTTTGGGGTCGCCCATATTTTTGCCAGCTTCAACGACACTTTCGTACATGTGACAGACTTGTCAGGAAGGTTAGGATCTCGCTTTTTCGTTGTTTCATCTTTAAACTGTTATTTTTCCCTCATTGCTGGTCTCAGGCCTACAATTATTAAATGATTTGGAAGGTTTTTAGTTTTTTAAAGTTGGACTTTCGTTTATTTTCCAGGGAAACTATCGCTCGTGTTACTGGTGGCATGAAAGTCAAGGCTGATCGCGATGAGGCTTCACCCTACGCTGCTATGTTAGCTGCTCAGGTAATTAGAATCTAGGGGATTTCTATTAAATTCATGCGATTGTCTAATTTTCAACGTGATTTTGTGTTCAGGATGTCGCTGAGAAATGCAAATCCCTGGGCATCACTGCCCTCCACATTAAATTGCGAGCAACTGGTGGAAACAAGACGAAAACCCCAGGACCAGGTGCCCAGTCAGCACTTCGTGCTCTGGCACGTTCAAGCATGAAAATTGGTCGCATTGAGGATGTCACACCCATTCCATCGGACTCAACTCGCAGGAAGGGAGGTCGTCGTGGACGCAGGCTGTAAACAATCTGTATGGTTTATTATACCTTACAAATAAATATTTGAAAGACCTTTAACATATTTATTCGATAAACCATTGTTTTATTCATTCTCGAGTGCTTAAGCCAATCGTGAGTATAAAAATTATAGTTTGAGGAGTTGCAAAGCGAGACAAATTATTCACCTCTTCGATGATGAGATTAATTGAGTAATTATGAGAAACCAGAGAGTTTATCGAGTGTCAAAAATAATTGAACCTTCAAGTCCACTTTCTGGGGTGTTTTGTGCTCGAGTGTTGCTATTGTATTCACGTACTCGTACTGCATCACCAGACCGACCACCACTGGATCATTTTTCCTGCTCTCTTCAGGTATCTGAGGTGTGATCTGCAGTTTCAGGATAGCTTTGTTTCCTTTTCTCCAAACAACAAGCCTAAAATAAGTATATCGTCAATGTCCTAATCTTTACTTTCTTTATGAATATTTAAAAATTTATATTGTTAATCTCAATACTTTGGATCATCCTGAAAACTGTGGGTGTCTCCGGAGTCATCGTACTCAGCAGTGTCATCCCTTGGAGGAAGTATTAATGCACTCGAGGGCAATTCAATCGAAGCTCCAGGGATTATTTTTACGGTCTTTGGCTCCTCCATTACAGAAACTTGTCTCACAGCTGAAGGCATCAGATTCGGCGATTCTCCGCCCTAGAATAGAATAGTTTAACACTAAAAAATTTAAGGGGCTGTTAAGATTGCGTCATTAATTGAATATTTACTGACCAATTGTAAATTCTCAATTCTGAGCTCTTCCCTCTGGCCACTGGGCCCCAAGGTGGTTGCTACAGTAGCAGCCCACCAATCCAATAAAATAATTTGAGTCTGATGCTGGGTGGGATTGCAAAATTTGAGAAGAAGTTCACTGGTTTTGCCGACCTTCAAAGGCTCGAACGTGACAATTCTCACTTCAGGGACATGATAAAATGCAGAGAGTTGAATCCTGAATTTGATGGACTCCGGTGAGAACTCTGGCTTGCTGACATTGTGTTCACACGTCCTACACCGCTGAGATCTCTTCACCGGGAATCTTTTGTGCTGAGGTCGCAGCTCATTGATTCTTTCTGCCTGTACCTCAGGCTGCTGCAGTCGTTGCTCCAAAGTCGTGATCTTCGTTATGTCAATTTCCTCGGTGAAAATCGAATGTGGCAGCTCTTGAATCTCATCCGAGGCTATCGAGGGCTGGGGATAATCCGTTTGCTGCCACTTCGGCTCAGAAAATGCAGGTAAACCTGCCCTTTTCCGAGCCATGGCCGAGGTAAGACCGAACTTCTCGAATTGCAGGCAAGTCCGTTTGGGATCGAATTTTTTCTTTTCGTATTGTTGGCGTTCCCTGGAGGCCAGGATCCTGTGGAAGTCGATGAGGGCTGTTATCCTGGCAGCGTGAGGGTTCTCCTGCTCTGGCCAGCCACCAGTTGCCACAAACTGATCTGGAATTCCAGCATCTCGAGAACTCCAACGGCAGAGGGAACAGCAAAGGTAGTAGACCTTCCTTGGGGTCGATTTGACATCCTCAGGGCCCTGCAAGGAGGCCGAACGTAGGGGAGCATGACCTGCTCTGATGGTGAGAGTTTGAAAGCAGCAAGGACACTCGAAGCAGTTTGAACATTTATTTTTCTTCAATCGTACTTCAGACCATGGCAGAGTCTCCATGCAATTGGGACAATAATGAGAGTCCACCTCATGAGACACACAGTAGCCGCAGCGTATTTTCAGACAATGTCGACAAAAATAAATCCTGGAGATGGGCTTTAGAGAGCCGCAGCTGCAGGTGTATCTCACATAATCAGGTTGAAATAGATAAGCCATTATTGAAAAAACAAATGCACTCTGCACAGTGGCTTTTCCTTTGAAATATTTGACAGCTCTGAACGAATTCTACTGACAGCCATTCGCCATCTTGCTTTTTATTCCATTGATTTCACAGAAAATCAGCTGATGGATAATTTATCGACGGGAGATAACCTTTAATTCAATTAAATACTATAAAATTACAAATTCAAATGCAACTTAGAGATAAAAAATTTTCACGCACTTTGATAGAATAATTATTTTATTTAAAGATTTTCTCCTTCTTTTTGCGCCTGCTTTGCTTAAACTTACAGATATGTACATGATTATTTACTTTTTTATGAACTTACCCGAAATTTACGAAAAACCGCACAATTAAATTGTAATTTTCATTAAATAAAATCGAAAAAATACCGAATTTCAATGAGAATTCTGTTCATTTTTCTATTAATTTTCTCTATTAATTATTAAAAGCTACATCTTATGAAAATATAATCGCAATATTTTGCACAATTAAATAAAAATGATGGAAATAATTCCGTCTTATTTTCCCGTGGGTAAACAGTGAAATAAAACAAATGCTTAGAATAGATTTCTCCCCCACAATTTACTATTTACATTTATTCTCTCCGCTTCCCCACAGATCAACCTCATATTGACAACTACATAATGTCGACAGAAATGTTTTCTCTCAATAACAGCAACTCTCCCCTCGCTGCATTAAAAATTAAAGGCGTCACTTGTCAAGTACAGGTGTTGAGTTTTCACAAATACACAATAATATTTTATTTTGAAATACGAACGGAGGGGATTCCCAACAACTCGAGAACCGTACAGCCCTCTGGAGATCTGCAAATTGAAAAAAACAGTGTAAACAATGACGTCGGACTTCTGGGATCACCCTTACTACAAACCCGCGAGAATTTGTACAAGTATTGTTGGACAGTGGCCACAACAAACGAAACAACAACTTATTTTACATCGTTCTGTACTATTTTCTATCGTAACTCTTCAAATTACATCGAGGGTAACGCGTCAAGAGAAATTGAAAAAATGATATTTCTAATTGTTTATTTAAAACCACAAGTATTTAAAAAAAAAAAGTCAATGTGATTGACGGTTTTTTTCACTAAAAAATTTACTAAAAACATGAAAAATTAAAAGATATCAGCATTAAATCCTCACCAATGAGTTTATAGGAAAACATTGGTTTATTTATTTATGCCGGAATTGTGATAGTTTAAAAAAATTAATTGCCAATATTTTTTTTGTAATTTTCAGGTGTTAGCTGTTATAATAAATAGTGATGACCCGGAGGTACTCGTTGACGCCATTGGGCCTCTCATAATTGACGTCGTCTTTGCGATAAAATTAGGAAACAGTTGTTATCATTTCAAGAAGGTGAAACCAAAAAATGAAAAACCTATGCCCTCTTGAATTTCGTTGAAAATAAAAACATGCGTTGCAGATGAAATTTTTATCAGACAAAATTCAGGAGAATTGGAATATATTTGCACCGAATAATGGTCTTCAGCAATTGCACTACCACAGTAATTTTGGACGACAAATATCAACGTTATATCTAGGTATTTATATCAATCGTCTGCACACTGAGGGAAAAATATATTTTTCATGGATTCTGTTAAAAATTGACGAGAATTTTAAACCGCCGTGATTTTTAAAGCTCCCTTTAAGGCTCGGGTGGATTATCTAGAAAAGATAATTTACTCCGAAATTCGGATTCCTAATTACTTTGGCAATTAGTCGTTTTTTTCAATAATTGTTAGCTAGCGCTCTAGCGGTTGTCAACAACTAGGCCGCTAGCTAACAATTATCGGAAAAAACGATTAATTGACGGAGTAATTAGAAGTCCCAATTTTGGAGTAAATTATCTTTTCTAGATAATTTACTCCGAAATTTGCATTCCTAATTACTTTGGCAATTA